GGAACACTGGTATAACATAGCGGCGAATTAGTAAGAATAGTTAATCTGTAACAAGCGGAAAGTGTCTACCGCAGAAACATACAGCAAGAAGACAAATCTACGCAGCACCAGAATTACGCATGCGCACAATATGCTACTCTTTCGGGCCTACTCCTGACGTCGAGACGAAAATCACCCTCAAAACAACACAACGCTCTCTTGTAAAACTAAGAAAATGATAGACGCTTGGCAGTTTGTAGTCATACTAAGTAGGAAAGAAAGAAAGTTATCTCTTGAGTGGGACTGTACACCATTTTTCACGTTTACTCTTGGCTCTGTTTGAATAATGTCATATATTTTTAATGTGTCTTCTATTTGTGCCATTTATTGTCTTTCTATATAGCACTTCCTAATTCACGTTAAGCCAATTTTTACGTAAAATTTACATTCTCTACTTTTTTTGCCTCTGAGAACTCAGCGGTTTATGGTTAGCGCTCTCTTTTCCTTAAGATATAGGGCAACTTCCCTTGTCTATTCCTCTTTTTAACCCTTTCATTTCAAATTCCCGCTTTCATCCGCGCTATACAATTTCTTTGATTCACAGCACACATTTCGGCGTGGTCTTCCTTGCCCCTTGTTAGTTCCATTTCTTGGACTGGAATTACGGAAAAACATACCGCACAGAGGAACGGCTGCGACAATCGAAAACAAATTATGAAGCGTCCAGTCTCCTTCCGAGGCAGCGGTGTGATTGTTGCCAATTGACGTATTTGTGCACGGGCATTCACTCCAGTCTTACTTTAATGAACAAGAAGCCTCATCTGTATCATAGCGTAGGGTCTGACGTGCCTTAAACTGATCCTGGTCGTACCACCTCAACAACCAATAGCTAAAGACTTGCACCAAATGTTACAAATGTGTGAACTTCTTGCCAAAATATCTTCTCGCTGTATGTCCATGCTTGGTGCAGTAATCTGGCTTGCAGAGGCAATTAAGCGTGGTCAGAAACAGCTGAGTTATTGTTGAAATGGACAAGTTCGCTGATTCTCGTTAACAAGTTTGCAGCAAAGTGGAACAGGAAGAAGAACTGATGGGGGAATGCAAACTTAGATCTTACTGCGAAACACCTCAGGAGTCGTCACTAAATATTTACGCAGAAACTGCCTTCTAAAAGAAGTTATTGAAAGAAAGATAGAGGGGCGAATAGAAGTGACAAGAAGACGAAGAAGAGAACGTAAGAAAATGCTGGATGACCTTGGTGACAGAAGAGAATACTGTCATTTGAAGGAGAAAGCTCTTGATCGCATTAGTTAGTTAGTTATTGGAGAGGGTGGGTTTCCCCATGCACTTAGACCTGTATTGGTCCATTGTGCTTCCCTCTGTGATTTCTACCAGTCTCTATATCCTACCGGTACTGGTGCTTACCTTCAGTCCCGCCCAGCCAGCGAGACCGGTTCTATTAGCTGAGAGGTATCTATAATGCTTCCCCATCTACCAGAGGTATTAGAGACTGCTGTTGGGCGGGAAACGTCCGGAATTTTGGCTCAGTGACCTCCTTTTGAGGTATGAGGTTCTTTTACGTGCCGTAAAGCTACGACACGGGACCCACGGCTTAAAGTCCCTCCCGGAGGACTTGTTCCCTGAATTTTTTCGCCCTTAAAAATTCGACGACCTCCGCCGGGTTTGAACCCGCGTACTACGAGTCATGAGGTGGGAACGTTACCTCTAGACTACGGAGGCCGCTTAGATCGCATTAAGTGAAGGAACTGTTTTGGAAGAGACTGTGGACCTGTCGTCTGACAGATTACTGATGATGATGATTTCTGAACTGCCTGATATAGTTGGCAAGATTACGAGAGATGACTGAGAATCAGTCTTTGTGTCAACAAATAACTTGCAGAATGCTTTACGGCATTGTTAGGAAACTCAACATGCATTGTAGTGAAAAATGCGTCATCCACTTATGAAGTGTGAAAAAAACTTACGGGATATGGACCAATATTTGTAAAAGTATTTAAATTAGTTGCACATATCTGTATTAAACGGAATTCTGTCTAGGACGCCAAGATTCCGGTCCCAAGGGCATTCATAATAGACAGGTTTCACTGCGTAATATGCTTAGCGAACTCAGCATTCTTCTGCATTTGGTGATGCCACGAACAATGAAATGCAAATTCACTGTTCTTGCTTCGGTAAGCTTCAAACCGAATGTCTGTCTGAAGTTGAAATCCCTGACATACACGTATTGTCAGAGTCAGTGAGAACCAACATCGTCAGCACCGTGTAAATGTCAAAGCAATTTCGAATTCGGTTGCGAGACAAAAGTGGCAGTTTGCATGGCACTGTGTTGCAGGTATAAATTCGGAAAAGAACAATTCACAGAATCGCTCAAAGTCATGTTTCTGTTTGAATGACTGCAGGTTCCCATTTCCTTCAAGGACGTAGCAAATGCAGTTGAAAGCTGGAGAAGCAGAAAATAAGAAACAGTTCTCCCCTTACCCATTCAATTCAGATTGAGTGATATTGACACTTCACAGCCGGTTATATTTAACTGCTATCCAACCACTATCCTACAGTGTGTCATTGTAGTTAAGTTTCACACTTCTAGGTTTGAAATTCATCTATAGTTTTTGTTCCCACCTAAAAAATCACTTCTCCATTAGAATTGTTGTTTAGGGCAATACCGTGAGAAGAACAGGAAACTCATGCATGCAATCTGCGTGTGAAGTGCAGACAACTTTAGTTTCAAAAACACCTACTTCAGAGGGTCATGACATTTATCGATATGTATAGGCAGTCTGCATAAAGCCCTTCCTATGAAGTGTTGGAAAACACGTTGAGTATCCACGTTTAGATAAACAGTCTCGTGGCTCTCAGGCACGTTACCCAGGTCCAGCAAAAATAAAGCGTTTTTTGAACAATTATAAAATTCATTCCTTAACCACATTTCATTAAAACTTTGGAAGTTAATACTTTCACTCGTTTACTCATTAACACCTGGAACAACATCTTGCAATGCTACATAATCTTATCATCAATTATCAATGGCGTATTTAACGTAAAACTGGATTATCCTTTATTATCCTGCACGGAAATTCGCTGGTCTCGTTAAGTCAGTCAGGTGACTACTGACATTAAACTGTTTACTGTCTGAGATTCTATGCAGTTTAAAGTCGTCAAGACAGATTCAGTCTCTTGCTCGATTTTCCCTGGACATGCTAACTGATCCTGAAAATTTCTGCATCGTGTGGTATTAAAAATAAAATATTTTAAATTAATATCCATTTTGCCATTTAGAATCTGCTAACTGCCCGTGCCAAGATGGAGCTAACTGGAAAAACGCTAATTCCTGGGACACCTGGGAATCGTGACACGGAGATCACGGAACCTTGCAAACCAGCAGTACAAGAAATGCCATAGCTGCAGGTTTGCTGACTTGGCCTCAGTTTGAAACCCTGCGCTATGAGGGCACCGCATCAAACGCATTTGCCTTACAAGCTGTTACTTTACGTTACTACCTAAAGGAGCTAAAATTTCGCATCAAACGCGAAGATACATATTCAGAATTGAAATCCGAGCCGGTGTACCCCAGGGAGGCGTTCAGGGACCGGTCCTCTGTTTACTTTATATCAACGACACACCACAAACGCCGAGATGCACGATTGCCACATTTGCGGACGACACCGCAGCGATGGCGACAGGAAACACAATCGAGGAATCAAGAACAAAACTGCAACGAGCAGCTGATAATATCGCCACCTGGACACGTAATGGGGTATCAAGCTCAATGAAACCAAATCTACGTACATCAACTTCACCAATCAATCTCACTAAATGGAGTAAGACTACCACCTGCCAACACAGCAGAGTACCTCGGAATGGCACTTGACGCCAAACTCCGATGGAAGGAACATATTAAGAAGAAGCAAGAGGAACTGCAAATCAAATTTCGAAAAATGTCCTGGCTGATTGGACGTCGATCAGAACTGTCAGTGTACAAGCTGCTCCTGTATAAACAAATGCTGAGACCAGACTGGACATATGGCGTCCAACTATGGGGATGTGCGAACAAATGCAACATCGAAGTAATCCAACGATACCAGAACAAAGTACAAAGACGCATAGCAGATGCGCCCTGGTATATACGCAACAGGGACCTCCATCGAGACCTCGGTGTCGAAACAGTCGCATCCATTATTGCAAGATACGCCACCTCACGTCAATGAAGAAGCGTCCAGGCTCCTAAATGTGGGAAACCTAACCAGGCGACTCAAACGGACCGAACCTTGCGAACTAGCCAAGCAGCCCAACAGCTAAGGGATCCGATGGGCGAACTTAACTTCATATAAGCTTAGTAACTTAGTGTCAAATTAAAACAGATTGTTAGTTCAAGCGAACTAGTCTTTGTAACATTTTGCTTACATCTTGTGGCAGCCAATATATAAAACTTTGCGTTACGTGCTAGTACCCTAGGATTCGTCGGTACAATAAAACTTCGCTCCTATGGCGTACCCGATTTAATTCAAGTTCACCAACGCACCATTTACTTTCACTCACAATTTGATGCCATATCCGGGGGTGCTGACCTCCTCCGATTTGACACTGCTGCATCAACTGGGCTCCTGTGTAAGTTCTCCATAACGTTGCATTCCAAAGTGGGACTCGCGGTGACCCAAAGGGACCGTGAAGCTCATGTCCCCCGCCCCCCCCCCAAAATGTTATCTGTAACAAAGATGCTGAATCAATTTTTATTCTAAAAGCCAGCATTAAACCATAAACATACAATTTAACACAGAAATACTTAATTACATTTCATTATAAATATTTCAGCCGATGACAGTGGCCGCGCGGTCTGAGGCGTGAATTGTCTTCGTGGGTTCGAATCCCACTCAAGGCATGGATGTCTGTGTATGCGTTTATTCGTCCAAGGGGTCCTACCGACTGTAGAAAAGATGATGAAACTGAAGAAGAGGCCAGGGCCCAACAAGGGGCTGTAGAGGCATTAATGAATGAACGAATGTAAATAAATATTTCGAGCTGATAAATCGTTCTCAAATTTGATATTCGTGCTGTCGCGCGGACTGAGTGCGAAGGAGGGGGGCACTTCTTCAGACCGGCCCCTCTCCCGCAACTTGCAGAAACCCAGTGTGCCCCTTCTCTCGGGATTGCTCTGAACTATTCTAGAAAGGGGAGAGGAAATGCGGACAGGTGAGCTAGAAGTAGCAAAGTTCTGTGAGGTGAACCAGCGCTACGAGACGCAAGTTAATGATGAAGAGGAAAGTGCAGTGATATACAGTGAAATGACGGCCGCCAAAATGGTCTTCACGTGTGAGAAGCTATAAATAACTATTTCAGTAGAAGATAAGCAACAGTAAAAATGTGGGGAAGCACTGCTCCACATCACACACTTAACCGGCCTGATCACAATGCACCTTACATCGTGTGTTTAAGAAAGATACTAAACGCTCTGAGTTGCGGCACGGTATTACTGTATGTTACAAAGAAGTGCGTCTGGCTATGAAACTGTATCATAAATTTCAAGGAACTTGTAGACCTTGTAGACCTCATAATGGAACAATTTGAAGTGCGTCCGCAATGTAATTGGGTGCTCAGCACCACGGAAACACTTAAAATGTCCACAAAATTTCAGTTTATTTTGAGAATTTCATCAGTCGCACAAAAAAAAATGTGATTTGATACCGACCTTGTTGAAGTATTTGGTTCACAACAACGCCTTGACACGCCAAAAAGTTCTAGTTCCACCTGTGCCTACCTTAGTCGTTCGTTTGTTACTCCCGCGGAGAGGCCGCGCCATAGCTCAAGCGGTTAGTCGCTGGCTTCCCACCGCGGCGGCACCAGTTCGAGCCCGGTTCTGGTCAAGTGGGATTTGTGGTGGACAAAGTGGCGCTGGGGCAGGTTTTCTCCGAGTACTTCGGTTTCCCCTGCCAATCTTCATTCCACCAATTGCTCCACAATCACCCTCACCTATCATCTAGGGCTGGTACAATAGGCCAGAAGTGGCCGCAGTACAAGGGACTTGGTCCCACCCACCAGCAATAAAGAAAAATACTCCCGCGGAAGAATTTCTGGTCCCAGTAAGTCTACTTCAGCGTGAATGTTAAGCTGCATTCCCACTGCATCCGACTCGTCCCGCTGTGAAAGTACGGGCTGCCACAAAAGATGTTATTGGCCAGAAATGTACGCTTCTTGCCGTAGGCCAATCAAGTTGCACAACTAACCTCATGGCGCAGAGTTGTTTTTGAGAGTTAATAGCCACTCGCCTAAGCAACAAGTTTCCTTCACACTTGTAGTCTTGTTCTCCGTCTGTGATGGAACAATTAAAATTAAACCACATTTAATTGTCTAAAATGTTCGTTAAATGTTTAAAATATCATTAAAATACGTATATGTACATTCGGTATTTATGCCACATGTTTCAGCCGCATAGGGCCATCTTGAAGAGTCTCCGGCGCTGTGAACTTGGTCAAATTGTACTCTTAAGGCACGTCGTCGTTGCTGTCTTTAATTTTGATGACGCAGGGTGTTTTCTTCCTATCTCTTGTATTGCGGCCGTTTCTGCAATGTACAATACATGTTTATTAATATGATTATGTCCTTAATGCTACCTTTGTATTTCTAGATGTATTTTCTTGTACTTACGTGTCCCATTGGGTGTACCGTTCTCTTGGTTGTGTGCATCTGGTGTTGCTTTGTGTTCCTTGTACTGATTTTAGTGTAGTTGTTCTCGCTTAAATATCTTCCTAGGTAGCGTGTGTACTGCCATCTATCGTAAACTTCACGTACTCCTTGGAATATAGGATTGTGTGCTTCGATGTGTGTATCGTTCATGTGTAAACTGTTCCTTCTAATTTTGTAAATACATTTTTCTGAGGTGTCTAAACGCCTGCCCTTCCTTCCTGTCCTTATGACGTACATAGTACCTGTTGTTGTGCCGTATGCATGTCCCGTGTTGAATATATGACTTGAGAATCCGGAATTACCATATTACTTCTGATGACATGAATATGTTCTTATATTTTAACCTTGAACGTGCTTCCAGTTTGACCAATATATTTTAATGGGCAATCCAAGCATTTCGTCTGATATATGCCGCTATTGTTATATTTATCTGTCTGTGCGCATGTTTCAGTATATTACTGAGTGTGGTTTGTGTGCGAAAAGCTACTTTAATTTACGTGCTTCTGAAAAGCTTTTTTTTTTCGCATAGTGGGGGGTGGAGTCCAGCTGGGTCCATTCGGCACGGCGGCCACTGATGGGCCTCTTGTACCTGCCCCGGGTGATTATGATGATGGAGAATTTGGTGGAATGAAGACTGGAAGGGGAAACCGAAGTTCTCGGAGAAAACCTGCCCCATCGCCACTTTGTCCACCACAAATCCCACTTGACCAGACCCGGGGTCGAACTCGGGCCGCCGCGGTGGGAAGCGAGCGACTAACCGTTTGAGCTATGGCGCGGCCTTGTCTAAAAATTTGGTTATTTGTCTTACTTCTTTTCCGCAAGATGTAAATGCAGACCATTATGTTTCGTGGCATTTTGGATCTTCGTGTATATTTTGTTTTTGTGGTTGTGATATCGGTGTCTCAAGTAGATATATGTTGTACTCTGTAGTTCTTCTGTAGTGTGCTTTTATTGGAAATGTGTGTGACCGGTTTAGTAGATATTTAACACCTGACAGTTTGGGTTCGTATGGGTGGCATTACAATGTCAGTCTGGGTAGGTTTTCTGTATATTGAAAATTCTAATCTTTTTGTCCTTGTGGTGTATTGTAATGTCTAAGTAGTTGATTCTCTTGTGTTGTTTTTTCTGGATAGTAAATTTCATGGATCGTTATATGTTGTTAATTTCATTAAATATTTTTTCGATGTTTGCTTTGCTTTGGTCACATATTACTTCTTGTGTTTTTAGAATTGGATATGTATGTTATATGTTGTGTACAAATCTCTGATACCATTGCCGATATTGGAGTCCCATGGCCAGCCCTTCTGTTTGAATATTTTTGGTCAAATTGGAAGTAGTTCCGTTCCATTACTATTTTGAGTACATATATTATTTCATTCCGAATATTGAATTAGATTCTTGTGTCCTTCTCTAATAAATTGCTAATTGTGATTATGATGTCCCTTCTTTGTATGTACATACATCGATATCGAAGGAACATATTCTCACATTACTATTCAGTTCGGTGGTTTATAGTTCGGTCATAAGGTGGTTGGAGTTGAGCACATTTTATGTATATGGTAAATTGAAGTTGTTGTGTAGTGTTCTGACAATTGCTTTGTCAATTCATATGCTCGTGTAGTCTTCCAGTTGATTATAGATCTAATGGGTGTTTTTGATTTATGTAGTTTTATTGTTGCGTGCAGGCTCAGGGTCGTGGAATTCGTGCTTGTGTATTTCCATACTTCTTCTTTTTGTATAATGTTTACGCGTTGTTGTGTTTCTTTTGTCTCTTTTTTGTAGCATTTGGTTGGATTTTTATTAAATTTTATGAATTGATTTTCTTGAATAAATGCTTTTGTTTTTTGTTTATACTCTTCCTGTGTGAATATTATTAATGTTTTCCATTTATCTGCCTTTGTTATTACGAACTTCTTTTCTCATTTTTCCTTTTAAGTTAGTTATTATTTTTCGTTCTACCTTGTTCTTCTTTCTTGTTCTGTTATTGCTCTGGCTAATGTTTTTTTTAAGGTTTTTGCAACATCGTGTCTATAGGAACTTTGCTCCGACGCATCTGACTGACTGACTGCCGTCTCCGCTTCGAGAGCTAATGTTTCAATAATTTTTTTTTTTGTATTTGTAATGCAAATTTTATGTTAACCCTTAATAGTTGTATTTCCTCATTTGTGAACTGCATGTTTGTATGATTTTCTACTCTATTTTAGTTTGTGTCATCGTGTGCTATGTTTTTACTTGTTTATTTAGATCGTATATTTAGTGTTGTTGTTTATGGTGTGCTTGAGTCATTTCTTGGTGTAATTTTTAGTTTATGGATTGTTCGATATTATTCCAAGTGTGTTGCCATATGTTTGGGTTCTATAAATGAATGTGGTACAGCTGTGTGTTTAATTTTTGTTTCTCTTTATACAGGAATTTTATTTTCTTCTTAATGCTCATTCTTTGTCTTCTTGCTAGTGGTCTTCTCGCCACTTCGTTATTCGTTGGTATTCTTATCTATGCGTATTTTGGTACGAGTCTCATTCTTAAATATTAAATATTAAAATTTATATTTACTTTACAGTGCAGTATTTTCCTCTTACAATTCATGTAGCTGTATATGCACGTATGTAAACACTGAAAGTGTATATATTTTATTGATAGTTAAATATTTAACGAACATTTTAGTGAATTAAATGCGATTTAGTGTCCTTTAAATTTTAAATTGTTGCATTACAGACGGGAAACAAGAGTACAAATGATACCTCACTGCAACAGGGTGCACACTGTTTAGAAGCAACCGCCTCTGATTCTTATGCCGACCTAAATGGCTCAAGTCCAACCCCCCTCCTCCCCAATAAAACTGAAACAAACCCCTTTGTTCTCATGGATGATTTAACTTGTTCATCTGATATATGAATCGTTTCATATGATGCCGTTTGCGAAATTAGAATGTGCAGCTCTGCACTGAGGGCCGCTGCTACCAGCAACTCTTCCACATTGTGCAACAGGCATGCTACTGTACTGCCACGGAAAATAATTTAAATGTGTTATGTCCCATTGATATTTAGACAATGATAAGAAAGGTCCAAAATGAAATGAATTCAAACCGCGTGACTAATTACGAATACATGGTAGTGGGCCTTCCGGTGATACGGGTAAAAAAAAAAAGAAGTAAAGCTATCCCTGTAACAGGCCGTGAAGGCCCACAGGGTTGTGAGACGTTGAGGGTCCCACACTATCTAGACAGTCGGCTCAAAGGTGGCGGTAAGGTTGTCAGCCTTACGCGCCGGCCGCGCTTTACCCCCAGGAATATTCCTGGTACTCATTTGTGTTAGAGAATTGTACATTTCTATGTCTATTTTGTGTACATAGTACACAAAATAGAATTGTAGCTTATAAGTGTACGTACTTTAGGTCTAAACAACTTATGTGATGGTGGTTTCCTATTTGTAGTGATGTTTGCCCTCTGAAGATGGTCCACAGAGACCGAAACATGTAAGGGTGTTAAGTTTTCATGTAGTAAAAAACTTGCAGGTCACATTGGACGGAGTGATTTATATTTGTAATTGTTAGTGTGACGGACCAGAATGAAACAAATCAAATTCCAATTGAATGTCGATAAAGTAACTTTGTAACGCTTTCAGTGTTCGTCAGCAAATACAAATAAGAAATTTCACGCAGGCGTAAGAGAAACACCAATTACTGCCACTGCTTCTGATGTTAGGCCTGTAACTTCTTTCCCACTTCCTCGACAGGCAGCTGTTTACATGAAATGAAATGGCGGATGCATCTTGATGTTGCAGCTCTGTTCGTGCTCTACCCGTACCTGACAATTCACATGAGAGAGCTGGGAATCAACGTGGAGGAGACAGCCATCATGTCGGCCGTGACTCCGGTTGTGGCTATTGTGATGCCGCCTATTGCAGGCATGGTGGCGGACCGAATAGGAAATTTCAGGGTAAAACTAGAACCTAGATCAATGGTTCTCAACCGGTGTGCTTCGAGGCTTCGAAGGAAAGAAAAGCTATGTAAAATGAAGTGTGTGCTTGCATAAAATATTTAACATGATATTTTAAATAAGACTTCATCTTTCCGTTCCGTAATTTCACATTTTTCTAAACTGCCTTATTTGGAAACGTAGATGTGCATTTATTACAAATTTGTGTTCTCTGTTGTGATCATAGCGCGAAGCAAATATAAATGAATATCGCAAGCGAGCTTCAAGCACCAGACGTTGAGAAGCACTAGCCGACATCTTTGCCACAAGCTAAACCTTGTAACACCAGTTTCCAGCATTGAGGCAAAACTCGGCTATTTATAGTACCTGTCTATCAAAAATTGTTCGGGTCTGGATGTGCGCGTTGTGGAAAGTGCTGAATGTTATAACCAGGGCCCGGATGTCGATGACCTGAAAATATTTAAAAAGTTACCTATAAAATGACCGAAAAATCCAGAAAAATGACCTAAAGGATAAAAGAAAGAACACTTCGCTTCCATGTTATTCACATTTCAGAAAAAAATATGAAGAAAAATTCCCTAAAATGGCCAAAAATGACAAGAAATACCCTTAAAAGTCCCAAATTTACCAAAAAATTACCCCAAAATGAAAAAATGATCTTAAACCTAAAAATGTCAAAAAATGACAAAAAATTACCTCTAAAATTTACATTTCTGTAACCAGCAGCTCATATCCGAGATTTATATATTTAAGAGCATCGCATGGGATACAAGGAAAAAAATATGACATGTCGTCAAAATCCGGGCCCTGCTAATAATATATTGACTGAGAGAGTCTTGGAATTTTTAACTACACCGCTTCAACATCAGAATTCAAATAGCACGGAATATAACCATGACTGGATATTCTTCAGGATTTTAAAGGAGGGGCTTCCGAGAACAATTTATGACGTCTGCTATGTCGATATACATTTCGCGAAGCTAGCAGGGAAACATGAATTAATAGCTGTGCGTCTGATAATTCGTGTCTCTGTAAATTAGCATGTATACATGTTCTGATTAACTAACTCTGCCACGCACAGCCTTCATGTTTGCAAATGTTAACCTGTAAAAATTGTTTTCGCATGGCCCGTAGATATTGCCATCAAACGGAAGGCTAAAAGCAGATTTCATGAAGCCACCACGCTGCTGGTGCTCACTACATGTGTGGTAAGGACATGTTGCCACGTGACATTTCAGGAACCAGTATTAAGATAAGACTAGCGTGGCTGCCACCTAGTGACTTCGCTTCACCCCTACGCTCATATTACTGATGGTACAAAGTACGGAGGTCACATGACTCTTAATGGTACGATATTCTTAAAAAGAACTTTAAAAATCTGTCAGTTCGTCCGAAAGATGATACAGGAACACACAATGTTATCATACTCATATCCGTCAACATAAAATAAGGAAAACTGCTCTGAAAATTTGCACGTGGCGCAAGATATGAAATGTTTATTGCGAAAGTTGTCGGTGGAATCAAATACTTGTTTAACAAAACTGAAAGCCCCCAGCCATTATAGTATTCATACTACAAGATGGTGCGCAGTACAGCATCTCTATGCGAGTGTATGACCTCTAATTATGCACAGCGAGCCCATCACTAGGCCATCACTGACTCTTAGTGGCCTTCAACTGCTACTCCCTTGCAAACTGTCGAAGGCAACTCGTTACAGGTTTAGCCTCGGGTCCGTTCCAATAGAAAGCTCCGTTTCTATGAGTTCCTTTATTGTTGCATGTTCTCTCGTTATTGCGGAAACACATTTATCGAGTCGTTACCAAGCAATGGCTGTTTTCGACAGTCATCGTGTCACAATATGCTCTAATTATGCATACAGACAACTGTAACGTGTATGTGAAGGGTCTAAATAATAATATTTATAAATATTTGGGGGTTGAGGCTCTTGTCGACTGGAAACCAAGAAAACAGTGCCGTGGGGATAATGAGTAAACTGCTCTGTGCCCATTGCACAAGGACATTTCTGTCCGGCTTCATTGTGTCCAGTCCGTCCTTGCATGGGTCCCTACCTCGACGCCAGAAGCATATGATTTGGATGTAAGCGGGAAAGGAGTTTAGTCTCAAAAAGTCATAGATTTAGTTTCACAGCTCTGCTATGTCAGCTTCACTGAGAAACTTCATCTGCAGATGTTTCATTGAAAGGCAAGGCACAGATATTCCTGTAACAGACCCTGAAGGCCCATAGGGCTGTGAGACGTCGAGGCTCTCAAATGACCCTTTACCCCCAAGAATATTCCTGGTACTCGTTTCTATCAGGGACTGAGTCGACCCCAGGGCCATATTGCGGCTGGAAGGAATATGTAAAATAAAAAATCCAGTGACCTCGTCAGGACTCGAAACCGCAACCTTCCGGCTTGTAGCATAGTGTCTTAACGAACTGCGCTATCGCGTGCCCCGTTTCCTTGAGAGTATAAATTTCAAAGTACCTCTGGGGTATCATCACTGGGTTCGCGTGTCCCATGTTTATGAACACCGTTGCAGATGAGCGTGGTGACCATGGGCACGGCACGTCGCACAGAAAGTTATATAATTTGAATAATAATGCAACTCCATGCCACTGCAACAAAACCTTGGCGGATACCCAGCTACACCATGGGCGACAAACGCGATACAGTGTGTAGCCGATTGTAAGGAAGTGACGTCAAGCGACAAGAGCGGAAAGGGCAGTCCAGTTAGGAATGCACAGTTTCCAAGTGGGAACTTTGTGATTTCGCGTTAGCAGTTTGATGCGTGCTTCAAGTGACTGCATAAAGAGACTGACGTGTCAGTCCCCTGAAGTGCTTGTGTTTCTAGAAAATTGGGTATTGAGGGGTCTGGCTGAAAATTGTTGGGTTAATTTAATTTCGGTGCTTACTGCCCGGTAACCTAAAGAACGCAACGTTTCGTCCTGAGGTGAGGGGTGGCAGGCATCTACTCTGTTGCTTCCGTTAGAAAGAGCTGAACCACTAATTGGGGTTAGCTCTTTCTAACGGACCAACAGATTAGGTGTATCCCACCCCCTCACCTGAGGACGGAAACCCCTTCATTTTCCGAAACGTTGCGTTCAATAGCATTGTCTAGAATGCCGGACGATGGACAAGCCCCCAAAACCCAGCAATTCTAAAACATAGGGGTGTTCAGAATATAATAAAAAGTAAACACAACATACAGAAAATTATACTGTTCTGCCTTTCGATAAATATAACCATTACGAAAACTTCTCAAAATAAATCTGTAGATCTTAATAATACACGCAGACCAAACAAACTGTTATACAATGGCTCTTACGGTGTAGGCCAGACGGCGAGTTGTATATAAAGTACACAGACACAGAACGGCGAAGACCCCTAGTACCCAATTACACAGAAAGGTACAACTATCCCTGTAACAGGTCAAGGAGGCCCATAGGGTTGTGAGATGTTGGGGACCCCACATTTTCTGTAGACAATCGGCTCACAGATGGCGGTGAGGCTGTCAGCCTTACGCGCCGGCCGCCCTTTACCCCCCAGGAAGATTCCTGGTACTCATTTCTGTTGACCCCAGGGCCACAGTGCGGCCGTGTAGCGTGGTGTCCACAAGCTCCACAGAAGTCATCATAGCACCTTGTGACCTGTCTGCACAGATTCTGCTGTCGGTGTTCTCGTCGCTGGGGGGCGCCGCCTCGCTGCTGCTGCTCCTGGTGCCCGTGGGTAGAGTTACTGTCACCTACCCAGAACGTGTCATCTTCAGCGTGGGATGTGGAGGGGGAAGGGACGGGTACCTGGACCTGGTTATGAGCGGAGACCCGCCATGCAGCTACGTACCTTCCATCAGGCTCGGGAAGATACAGCAGGTACAGAACGAATGTCATTATATTTACGTAAGCGCAAAGCAGAAAGCGAAGTAAACTCCCGATGCCTCATATAGACAGGCTCACAAGTTTAGGTCTACAGAAATGGCTGACCAGGCCAGAAGAGCGGACGGCAGTGCACCGTAGCTTTAGCGCATTTGTGCAGGCCTACATGACGTAAGTATTTTGTACGTCTTGCCTATCATACCAAGAGGAATGTATATTTGTGTGTGACAGATTTTAAGGAGGTGAAAATTTGTGTTTGTGGTTTGCTGCGTTATGATACTATGCAATCTCGTGGGTTATCACCTTCGGAGGAGCCTGTTACCGCCATCTTCAGGGTAGCCTGAAACATTACTAGCAGTCTATAAGATTGAAATGGTTCATATCAAAAAAGATCGTAATCTACACGTTTTATATTCTCGTCAGAATGAAGAGTACGCCGGAACACGTGGCTAGGGCCGAAGTGTGCACGCACACTTACCTGCACATAAGGCGACGCGAATGGAGGAGTAATGTGCATGCAGGTGACAAAAGAACCCCTACCGACATGTACGTGAGCATAATCAGGATCAACTTGATAGGGATTTCAATGTCGTCACGTCCTCAAGTTCTCACGCCGTGTGAATATAGCCCGGTTTATGAATACATGGGGTAGCAGCCGTTCCAAATTCAGCGGGAAGTAGCACCATTTGCTCGTGTAAGCCTTCTTACTGCCAAATTCCCCTCTCCCGTATTTTTCTCCAGTCCTGCAAGTTACAGTTACAGTCTGCTACACTTCACGTGTCCATATCAAAATGTTATCAACATTCACAGAACAGGCAGGATATACTGAAACGACTGCTCACTAGTTCGTGACCTACTACATAACTTACGTTCGTGCAACGTGTTGACGCTCAACATTTTTTTTTTTTTGCTATGAAAACCCGAAAGTGCGCAATAACACGGATAAATGTCACGCTTACAAAACAATTTACATATGCAGAAGGATAATCATGTCCGAATGTAAACAAGATGTATGTATGAATAGCACCAATCCACACGCTGTTCCTGTGGCCACGCTGTGATCTCCCAGAATGGCCAACAAGAAGATACCTTCGTGTCCGAGGACGAAAGAGGCTAACAAGCTCAACTCTTGCAAGTGATGATGATGATGATGATGATGATGATGATGACGACGACGTTGTACTCTGAATAGTTAAACGCCATAAAATTTATATCATTACCTATGTACAAGGAAACCCGTGCAGTTATGTAACATGATTGAAACAGACAGTGACATAAACTGCAAAGGTATGCAGCTATGTACACGCAATATCGTATTCGCACTGTATTCTGAATCCACAGATGTGATCATGCCTCGTACCTGGGACATACTGAACGATAGGACACTTCCACCAGAGTGAGGACTATACAAATGAGGCCAGAGATGAGAGACGTAAATATACGCCGTTAAACTAGAGTATTTATTCTAAACGGTTCTGACGACGGTGTATAATACTCAGAATTGCTGGGAGCTGGAACTTCTCATATCGTCTGGTATTCTAGAAAATAGAAAACACGACGTTTCGGAAACTCGATCTGTTACTGTCCTCAAGTGAATGGGGGAAGACAGCTACTCAGTTGGGTCCCTCAGAAAGAGCTAACCTCCCTCACTTCGGGACGAAAACAGATCCAGTTTCCGAAACGTCGTGTTTTCTATTTTCTAGAATACCGGACGATGGAAAAAAGCCCCAAAACCCAGTAATTCTGAGTAGAATATTTATGTATTTGGACATATGTGAAACGTATGTAACGAAAAGTTAATGACTGCAAAGAAACTCATTGACTTGGGCGCGTGTGCGTGATCAGCAATTCGGCTGAGAACGAAAATGTATATAAATAGTTTCACTGTGAATCCTGTACAAGACTGCAATCATTCTTAGGCCTCCGTACTTCATGGAAAGTACCCAGACTCGAGACAGGAATTGCACTGAATATACATCGTAAACTGTACGAGTATTTGGTGCTTTTGTCGTAGGCCTGCGTAGCGTAGCGCGACTATCCGAAATTCGACTAACAGAATAAGTTGTCCTCCTTACATCCTTCTCGCTAAGGAATTAACTACAGCAGCTAATGAAGGAATTCCATACTTTGAATAAATCAAAGTATACTTAGCATCATGGGACCCTATCCTGAGCCAGTTAAATCCAGTTAACCTTAGTTTCTCTAAGGTCGGTCATGCTATGCTCCTATCTACTCAGTCTCCTAAGTGACCTTGACGTTTTTTAAGCAAAACGTTTATACATTTATGGTTTTCTTCAGGTGGAGATGACACTGGAAGCTTGTGGATTCATCTGTGATTCTTCAATTGGCGGCCAAGTAACTGCAGTGTTGCCTGCTGTGTCAACAAATGAGAAGGACACTTCACAACGCATCCTTCAGACAACCCGCTATGACGTCATCGTTGGCAGCCGTGTCCCCAACGAGACGAAGGAGACCTACTCCTATACACTTTCTTCTGAAGAAATGCCCGAAACCTCAGACACAGACCGTGACTTGAGGAGCCACCGCTTCAGGAAGAACAATGAATTTTACCGAACCTCTGTTAGAAGTGCTTCAAACAATTCTTATTTCTTCCCAACCACCGGTCTCTACAACCTGAGCTGTGTTCTTGTAGACGCCAAGTATGACTGTAGGTTTGGCAAGAACGCTAGTGCCCAGGGAGCGCCGAAGGTGCAGACACCCAGGGAGCGGTTCAAGACGAGTCTGTTTCTTGCTAACAAGAGCAACAACATGTTTCTAGCAACGGGTTTAAGCAACTGGGTTGCTACTGAAACCGGCAACGGGTCTGCGACATCTAGAGAAAATGCAAATGCGACATGCAGTGATGTCTACACTCAGGTACGCCCGGGTACTTCCGTCATTTCGGTTCTTGGTTCAATTCCCCAAATTCATGCCGAACTGAATAGTGAATGGTGGGCTGATTTTGATTTCTGAATCGGAGAGGACTTGGGAGAGCGCTGTGGACTTTCCGAATACTGGGTAAAACCTCGAAATCTCTCGGAGTATTCTGCCTAGAGTCCAACTACGGTAGGGGAAGCGCGGCCGATGCTGGGACATGTGTGTCCGTCCGTCAGTCCCCTGACACATGAGGCTCAGTGTGCATAAATAACTTCACGAGCCGGATCTGATGGTAACAGTCTAGACTTGTATCTGGGAAGTGCTCGGTTCCATACTCGGTTGGGACTTCAGTTATATTGACTCAGACTTTTTCGTGGCTTCGTCAGGAAGTACCTCGATTAGACTACAGACGCTTCCTTCCATATCCGTTCCAGTTCATCATCCGACACTACAGAGTCTAGATACTAAAAGCGTCATACCGCGCTATAGCTCAAGCGGTTAGTCGCTGGCTTCCCACCGCGGCGGCCCGGTTTCGATCCCGGGTCTGGTCAAGTGGGATTTGTGGTGGACAAAGTGGCGCTGGGGCAGGTTTTCTCCGAGTACTTCGGTTTCCCCTGCCAGTCTTCATTCCACCAAATTCTCCATCATCATATTCACCCGGGGCAAGCTACAAAAGGCCAATCAGTGGCCGCCGTGCCGAGTGGATCCAATTGGACTCCAATACTAAAAGCGCCGTGAAATGACAGTTATTTTCATGAAACTCGATATGAACAAGAAGCCACTGTTTTCTTTCTTGTGGTCTGTATTACTACACTACGCTGCTCCGTTTAGAATGATAGCATAACTGTTGAATGACGAATTGGAAAGGATCTGAAAGGAAGCAGTCTTGGCACCGCTGTGGCTCTCACACAGAATTTTCTTGGAGGGAGTGAGAAAAGCCACGAAAAATATCAGTCGGTATGTTAGCCAGTGCAGCGACCGTGAATAGAAAGGAGGACCTCCCGAATTCAAGCACAGAGCGTTACCGGTGTAGCAGCCTGTTAGGGTTTCCACTGAAATGAAATATGCTAACATGGCGGTAATACGACCTTGCGAGATGTGGTCAACACGTGGTATTGAACTGCTGTGTAGTGAAGGAGTTTAACAGACGTGAAAAGTCTGTTACGTTATTCTTATCATGAAAACTGGAAATAACAACATGGCTACTGTGCGAAGCATTTTGGTGTGCAGACAATTTGTGTGAATCGGGAATGGTGATGTGCGACAGCATGGCCTTACGGTGACTAGGGTTCATAGTCAGAACTTGGGAAATATTCTACTCAAATTCCGGACGTATGAGTAGGCAGACACATTATTTTGCATGGTTTTACTCAGTCCTTCCAGGAAAAACGTCGGAACAGTAATTTCAAATAGGTCAGTGCCACGTTGTTTTAAGATGATGATACTGATCACTGACGGACCAAATCTCGGGTAATTTCCCGATGAGTCTCTTCAGAAGTTCCCTCAGTTTCTGGAGTCATGTGGTTCGAGATATTGTAATAGTTCCGGGAAGTACTTATGTCGAAACATTGAACCCAATTTGTTTTGTATATCAAAATATTATGGAACTGAAACCCAATCTGTAATTGAAACTTTGGGACACTAAAATTTACCCCTCTAACTGCTGTTGTATTGGTTGCTTTGATGTTATACAGTGGTACGAGGTGACCAAGAAAACAGTTGCCACTGTTTTTTGTTGTTGTTGTTGAAGTTGTAAATGGTCGGTAATTAGGAGGCCAATACATTGTGCTGTTACAGGCTGGCCGGAAAGTCAGCGTTTCAGTGCCGTTGCAAGATCCCGACCGTACCGTGCAGCTGTCCAGCTGCCGTGCCCGGTGCCTCGTAACAGCTCCGCGACAAGATGTTTGCTCGAACCTCGAGATAGAAGAGACATATGACATCAGCCTGACTTTCTGGAGCTATCTGGCCATCAGGGTGTTCATAGGCATGATCGGAGGGACGGCCTTCGCCATGTTCGAGGGTGCAGTAATCGCTATCCTGAGGGAACAGAACGCGGACTATGGGCTTCAGAGGATCTACGCCACTATCGGGGGCATGATCAGCTCCCCCCTCTCCGGCCTTCTGATCGACTACGCGAGCAGAGGCAAAGGCTACACCGACTTCAGGTAACCGCAGCTTTATATCGAGATATGGCCATTTTATCCCCTGCGAATTTGCTCTCTACACGAATAGTGCAGGAGACTGTTTGGTCCCCAGGGTTTGCCTAAGAAACTGAATCCTACATAGGAATCTTTTCCGGTATTCAAACTTTATCGGGTCGTTAAAGGTAAAATGTAAAGTAATTAAGCACTAAGTCATGAAGGCGTATGGGGGAGTGGAAGTTCAGAACGACATTTTCTTGACCTCGGCGCTAGCTGGAGGTGAGTGGTCAGCTTCACGCCCCGGCCTCTTTGCCCCCGGTACCAATTGGATAGGATGCTGGGTGGGCCCCAAAACCGGTCTGAGCGACATGGACAAGTGAAATTTCTTGACCCTACCGATACACGAACTCGACCCCTCGGTCGTCCAGCCCGTAGCCAGTCGCTATACCGACTGAGCTATCCCGGCTCTCCTATCAAGTTGTTACTTGATATAAATTAATTTATCATTAAGATCGAAGATTTAAAACACATTTGAAGTTATGCATTATAATTTTGAAGATAAATAAAAATTATTCTCTGGTTCCATGCGTTGAAGTAGGCTACCTGAGTAACAGGACATACGGCCCCTGCTGCTAATAGCCTTTAGCCAGCAGAAAGCTAATTACATGTATATCTCTTGTTTCTCAGGCCAGCCTTCTACCTGTACGCGGGCCTCAAGATAGCCAGCGGTCTGCTCATGCTGACAATGAACCTGGAGTTCAAGTCGCCCGCAACTAACGTCCTGTCTGACGTCATGTCAGTGATACGAAACGTCGAGATAGTCGCCCTCTTCATCGCCATCTTCGTGCTCGGTCAGTCCTCGCAAAACCACGCCTCATCTCATCTACAGGAATAACTGCTATTTTCTTCTTCAGGAAAACTATCGCTGTTCTGTGAGAACCAAAATTAACATAAACATTCTGTGAGCAAAATGCAGAGCTACTGAAATATAAGATGCAAAACATAGTTATCACTGCCGCATAAGAAAATTATTCTCTTCGTATAGGTTATGTTCAGTTTGAGTAACTTTGTGAATAACATTCTTACGTCGATCAGAATTTATGAAAACATGGCGACCACTGAAACTATTCTGGTCAGTTCATGAAAATGTGAGGATCAGTTTGCACTTATATGGCATTGTGTTTGGCACTCTCCAGGGACTGCATGGGGTTACATTGAGAGCTTCCTGTTCTGGCTGCTGCAAGATCTGGGGGCCTCCCGCTCTCTCATGGGGATAACCATCACAGTTGGCGGCGTTGCTGGGATTCCTCTCCTTGTGCTCTCTGGTCCAATAATTGACAAGATAGGACACGCTAATGTTCTATTCATTGGCTTCATATTCTACGCCATCAGACTCTTTGGTAAGTGAAATCTTTGCTTGTTCAGCAAGCAGCAGACACTTCAGTTTCTGGATAATGTACATCGCACTCTTTATATCGCGAAACACAATGTTTTGAGACTTCAGGTAAACCCTACTCAGATGGGCCCAATTGAGAGAGCTTGCGGACTAAAACCATGGATTTTGTTTTTTGTTTTTGTATTTCTCCGCCGGACAATTCAGGACACCTTGCAGAGGCACCGGTCAGTGTACGGCGACGTGCCGCAGGAACTGCAACAAGATTACGCATTCAGAAAGGAGCGCTGTTTTAATTTCACTCGGTAAAATGCGGTATGCTTAAAACGTGACTTCAACGTTATCAAAGAGTTCTCTTACTGAAGGTACGAAGCGATCAGCTGTGAGTTACAGATATTGTTCGAGATTTCACGTTAATCTTCCTCCTAACAGATACAGTCTCCGTAACTCAGTGAGTATGCGAACCGATACAAAGCCTCGCGTGAGGGCGGAAGAGGCCTGCTCATGCGTACTATACAGTCTTTCCCGCTGCTACTGCAACCTGGCAAGTGTGACCGGTGAATATATTCGTGTTATTTTTAAGTTTTAATGTGCAGTGACTACGTGCTCCCTAGAATCAGAACAGCGAGCAGGAGCTACAGGTAAATGGAAAATGTCTTCACTCAGGTCATAAGCATCACCGTACTTCTACTTATAGTGAGCATTCTGGAGAGGTGCTTCGTGCGTTTGTATCGCTCACTGGTTTTGATGCCCCTTTATTTAAAATACAGACCTGCTGGCATTGCAGCTCACGAAGAATACAGATATTGTGGGGATCTGAGTGGTAAGTTTGACAGTTTGTAAAGTACCGGGTGATTCTAAATTGTTATCGGGGTTTCCTATGAACAGAAACCCCGACAATAATTTAGAATCAATCTGTATAAAAATGTATTTTTGTATGTCGTTAGATATATAGAGCACTCAGAAAAAAATTCCACATGAAAGTTGCATACGCCATGTACTGAAGTTTTGTACATTGGGCCTTTTCTGTAAAATCTGATTAATTTCTGGGGGCTCGCGTTAGCGTAGTTTGTTGAGACATTATGCTACAAGCCGGAAGGTCGCGGGTTCAAGATCCGATGAGGTCATTGGATTTTTTCAATTGACCTAATCCTTCCGGCCGCACTATGCACCTGGAGTCGACTCAGCCTCTAACAGAAATGAGCACCAGGAATATTCTTGGGGGTAAAGGGCAGCCGGCGCGTAGGGCTGACAACCTTACCGCCATCTATGAGCTGATTTTCTAGAAAATGTGGGAACCTCAACATCTCAGAATCCTATGGACCTCCACGACCTGTTACAGGGATACCTTTACTTTTTTACTTTACTTTATTGATTAATTTCTCTTTGAGGTTCATGTGAAGTAGGAGTTATACATATTGTCGGTCCACGAAGACCAAAATAAAGATTTAGCGCAGAAACTCCTACCTGTTTCCCTTCATCTCGTAATACCAAATTCAATTGCAATTTGTCAAGGACGCACGGCGTTTCATTGTGTGTCGTTTGTCGCAGGTTACTCCCTCATCTACAACCCGTGGCTGTGTCTGATTTTTGAGGCAATGGAGAGTGTGACATCATCCCTCTCTTTCACTGCAGCCGTCACATACGCAGCGAAACTGTCCACCACAACCACGGACTCCAGTGTACAAGGTTTACTAGGGGGCCTCTACTTTGGCGTAGGTAAGAATTTGCTTGGCTTTGGTTGTGTAATCGAATCAGTCTTAAATGTCATTCGGTTTCAGTTTACCGCTACGAAACGAAGTGAGCCATCAGCCCCTGCCGTTGCCACGGAGACTCAAGGGAAGCACAGGAATATTGGTATTAAAACTTCGTAACAGTTCAACCACATTTTAATAGCGTGATGACTGGTCAGATGAATTAGACCTTTCCCGTGTTTTTGAAATTTTAAAATTGTGTGGAATGCATTTAATTTGAAAGAGTGTGTCAAGTGACAAAGAAACAACCTTACGAATCAGACAGTTTTGAATGAATCAGATCTTAGGCCATTGAAAAAAAAATACTACTCTTAGCTTCAGCAAGGCCAGCTGCAAGTCTTGTCACGAATAAAATTTTGAGGGCCGCTGAATGGATCCACCTGAAACATGACATTTGAGAATTTTGCTAAAATTTGTCGACTTATTAAAATTCTACTTCCAATCAGAATAAAACAAAAGAGACACGTCACACGAAGACCGGCATGCCTTTCTGCGTGCATCTCGAGGTTAAATCGCTAAATATTTATCCATGAGATAAAAGATTTCAGTAAGCATTTGTGACCAGTACACTTTTTTTAGAATTACCTTTTCCAGATAATTGAAAGAAAGGGAATTGAAACTGGCTACTGGGAATAGAGAGCAAACGTGGCTGCAGGATTAGGGACAGAGCGAGTCTCGTAAACTGTTTTGTTCATGGCAACCTCGTGGTTACGAAACGTAGTGACAGATCTGCACACCAAATCATAAATGCACACAGCAGGGCTGATAAACATATGTTGGACCATTCAGTTTGTTTCTACTTGTATACTCAGTCATGAGAGTACACGGAATATTGAAACTCTGGAAGTGGAGTTCGCCATTTTATTTTTAATTTGCTTCAAGTTCAAAGTCAGCTCACTTTGTATAAGTCATTCCTTACTAAGAGTCTGTAATCATTTGGAGAGAGACAGCGGAACGCGAAAGAAGTTGCTCCCAAGCCCTTGGATCCCAGCAGGCACTAAGAAAACTCCCTAAACTGTCTGTCAATGTAGAAAAGATTTTCTTCAAAAGACCTGGTTTTTTGAAATTCTGATTTTACAATTTGACACTGCAGCGACACTGCCCACCCTCTTTTGTGAGAGGTCTCAAATAACAGAGTTAGAAGCTCACTCCAGTAAAATTGGAAAACACGTTGCAGCCGAGTGTTCTCGCTATTTATTTAAGATACAGTACTTGAGAAGCTGTAGTGAACGCCAAGGTAGCTGGTATTACTAATGTCACTGCACGCGGTAGCGTACATAGTTGAGGCACTATGCTACAAGCCGGAAGGTCGCGGGTTCAAGTCCCGATGAGGTCATTGGATTCTTTTCAGTTGACCTAATCCTTCCAGCCGCACTATGGCCCTGGGGTCGACTCAGTCTCTAACAGAAATGAGTACCATGAATCTTGCTGGGGTTAAAGGGCGGCCGGCGCGTAGGGCTGACAACCTTGCCTCCATCTGTGAGCCGATTGTCTAGAAAATGTGGGAACTCGACTTCTCACAACCGTATGGGCCTCCACTTCCTGTTACGGGGCTAGCTTTACTTTACTTTACTTTACTTTACTTTACTTTACTTTACTTTACTTTACTTTACTTTACTTTACTGCTATGGAAGGACTTGACATGATGTAGTAATAATTCCTTTCCGAGTAGCAGCAGCGGGGACAAGAAGAGGTGTCGGATTTGTGATTTCCTTTGTTTGAAAATATGTTTATTTTATAGCAGCGGTAACCTTGTGACTTTTCCGTAAGTTGTATATATTGGTTGCAGGCAAAGGAGCAGGCAGCCTTATCGGTGGGTACATGATGAAGGCATTTGACACCCGCCCCACCTACCGCATATTTGCTGTAGCCTGCACGGTCACGGGGATCTTGTATTTCCTCTTCAACAAGTTCTACCTCCGCAAGAGACCTCAGGTTCGAACCCAATTTTGTTGTTCGCTCCACAGTTTTGTGAACATTTTCAGGCCCATGGACAGTTGCATTGTACCATTACTCCATTTTGGATTACAACAACACCCCTCTCTTTCGTCTCGCATTCCTACCTCAAGGAAAGGACAACGCTCACGAGATCATGATGTTCCTATTTCATCTTTTGAACTATCTGACCAATTTTCACGAAACTGAATGTCACATGTCACTAGTGCCCATCCTAATCTCCTGTAGTCAGTAATAAAAACATGGTGGACACAAAATAAAGCGACATTAATGCCACTTACTTTAGAACACTGGAATGGTATGTGGTAATGCAGCTTGAAAAAATACTCAACTTTAGTTAAGGTAATTTCTTCGTAGAATGTAGAAAAACAAGATGGAGGCCATGACAACAAATTCTTAACTTTAATTCAACGGTGATAACCATGAACTAGGGATGTGAATTCCGGTAGAGAGATAAGTTATAAACATATCTGTACAATTTAAATATGCAAACGGCTATTGTTTTAAGTCAACACTTAAAAATGCAGAGACAGCGCTAAAATTACCGGCTATACCGAACAGAATCCGGACGTTACTATAGGATTCTGACGATGGTGTATAACACACTGATATGTTGGGATTTTGGACTTCATCCATCGTCCTGGTTTTTAAGATAACAAATAAAAACACGACGTTTCGGAAACTGGATCTGTTTCCGTCCTCAGGTGAAGGAAATCACCTATTNTCGGTATAGTGGAAATAGGCCTCTCTGGATTCTCGAAAAAGAAAGAGTGTAGTAACGGAAAGAACACAAATGGCAGGGCCGAAACTCTGCCAATAAAGCCATCGGCATTGAAGTCTTATTCGTCGGCTGATGAGAGCCATGTGCAGAAGGAGGAGGGCCGAGAATGCAACGTGAACCTCGGCTATGACTCGGCGGGCGACGAGCAGTGCGTGACAGTGCTGGGCGCTGAAGGACAGAAGGGTGTCTCGAACCTTGAGACGCGAAGTGGAGGCAACGGGCGCGAGACACATACCAAAGAATATGAAAGAGGCGGAGGCGTAAAGGAGGATAATTCAACATAATTTTGTTGTTAATTATTATGAAACATACTGAAATTGTTTGTTTGTAAGATACTTTTTAAGGCAAACCGATATTCGTAATCATAATAAATAACACGAAAATTTGCTGTCTGAGGACAAGCTATGTTCATTTGTCTTCATTACACGCTGCTTGTACCCCCCTTTCCATCTGGAGATCTCGTCCGAGTTGCCGACAGCTCCATTAAATAAACCGCGAATAGGTAAATATTTACAGGTTTTGGTGTCCCAATATGCTTGGTCACGGCTTGGATACGAGTGACCGTACTTTTCAAGCGCCATTACATTTCATACTATTATGAGAGGGTACAAATTTCCAGTATTTCCAAATTTGGGGAGCGTTTTTCTATGTATGCCGAGTTTTCAGGTAAGAATTTCACGTGAGAACATAGCCGTGTCGGACAGATGACCGAAATAAACGGAGTAGGGGTTGAGCTTCTCACAGTGGCGTTTATGAAGAGCTCTTTCTTCTGCGATATAATGCTGTGTAACCCGAGTAAAGTCACGTGACGTTTCGGAGGAACGTGTCGCCTCCATCTTCAGGGTCGAAGAATAAACCAACCGAAGAATCCAGCTTGAAAGCAGGTGGCAAGCAAGAAATACTAATAAATTATTATTATTATTAGTAGTAGTAGTAGTAGTAGTAGTAGTAGTAGTAGTAGTAGTAGTAGTCGCATTCATCAGTCTGCACAACTACTGCGATACGGGATTCCTCGCCTTCGCGTCTTGCAGACCGACTCTGGGGCCTAACCAATTCGTACTGAGGCTCCTTTCCCGGGAGGTAAAGCAGCCGAAGCGTGAAAGTAGCGCCAATATTAAGACCGAATGGAAATGTGCCTTCACTCATTCATACTCTTCGTGTCTTAGTGTTTATTACACACATCAATAATTTTGCCTCGACTTCTTTATCATCGTTTCTGCTGTGTGACTAACAAGCAATGAAGCAAAGCTGCAGGCTATTGCAGTCCCAAAATATTAAGTGTTTATTGCGCACATTCAAGTATTTTTCAAATCACAAATAAAGCTCGTCCAGAGAAGATTCCTTCGAATAATGCAAAGAAGACACGTGGCCCAGTCTAACCTATCTCAGCGGCTCCAGGTTTCGGTTGGACAAAGGTGGGAGAGGATGCAACCTCAACATCATCCCTGTGCTTAACTCTTCCAGCACCGCGCGTCAAGACGTGTGAGGGATTGACTAGACGGAAGCACAAAATGATCCTAAATATGCAGTTATTAATTAATCAATCCCATTTAAGAAGTTAGCTGCAAGTGTCGAGTTCTATCAGGACACGGACTGAACGGCTGGGGTTAGATTCCCGGCAGGTCCGGATACTGTCTCTCAGTCGGACGGTGTGAAGCTGACTTCTTACTTCTGCCAGCATTCTAGTGTTGATATCAGGCATTATTCATGGCATGGTGCTTTATAAGTGCAGGTTAGGTGAAGTTGTCCTTGACCTTAATTAAGTAAGCGTATGGGGGAGTGGATTTGTAGATCCACGTTTTCCTGACCTCGGCATTAGTTGGAGCTTCACGTTCCAGCTGCTTTACTCCCCAGGGAAGAAACCCCCGGTACGCATTGGTTATGAGGTTGGGTGGACCCCACAGCCGGTCTGGACGACATGGAGACTCTACTGAGACTCGAAAACCGATTCCTCCGTCGTCCAGCCCGTAGCCAGGCGTTATGCCGACTGAGCTATCCCGGCTCACAGGCAGGTATGTAAGACAGACACTGGAGGAAACAGGATTTGCAATAAACGAAAACACTAAAAACACCTAAAAGGCAAATTTGTTCCAGTACTTAACCAATTAAGCGCTATGCCATGAAGACCTATTGAGGAAAGGAGTTATATCTTCACCATTCTTTGTCTCGGCACTAGAGAGAGGGGAGTGGTCAGCTTCACGCCCCGGCCGCTTTACCCCGAGGGAAAGTGCTCCCGGTACCATATGGATAGGAGGTTGGATGGTGGCGAACAGAAGAAATTTCCTCTACCTGGAATCGAACCTAGGCCGTCCAACTAGAATCCCGTTGCTATACCGGCTGGTGGTAAAACTGTCCCTGTGCATGAAGATGTATGGGGGAGTGGAGGTATAGCTGCACCATTCTTGACCTCGGCATTAGATGGAGGTGAGACTGCCCCTGTCGCTTTACCCTCGGTAAACATTGGAGGGTCGGCTGGGTTGGTTCCAGGGCCGATAAAGAAAAAGGTCTTGCCTCTACCGGGAATCAAACCCAGTCGTCAAGCCCGTAGCTCGTCGCTACACCGACTGAGCTGTTCTGGCTCTACTCGACTGGCCCACCGCTAGTTCGTGGAGTGACCGCCTGAAGCGAGACTTCCTACACATAACCAGTACGAGTATTATAGTGAGGCCGATTCGCCATAGATGTCACTCGCGACAAGACGGCGGTGAGGGACAGGAATTCAGGGTCAGCAATTTAAATCGGTGTGACGAAGATTTGTTTTGGTTGCAACACAAAAGAAACAGCTAAAACAGCAAAACCAAACACTAACAAATAGTTTTGCTTTAGTAACATTACTTATCGTACAAATGCTGATCCTGCACTTCCCCCTCAGCGACTGGAATTTCAAGTTCGAACCGTCTTTATTTTGCTATAAATTCCTAAATCCAAATTTAATGTCGAAGACTTTCGGGGCTGTGAGTGTTGTCCACTTACTAGCACTTCATTAAGTATGTCGCGGAGAAGTAGAAGGGTCTACGAGACTTGCAGCAAATGTTAGTAACGGCTCAGAAACGGGTGATAATCCTCCTTACTTCATCTTTAGAGGATCTAGAAAAGGAAGGCCAAATATCCGACGCAGCTGCTTCGTCTGAATATTATTACGGACGCAGCCGTTGGTCTCTACCAGCTGTCTCAGGAAATGGCTGAGCACCGCAGTCTGTGCTAGAGGCCACGCTGTGGTGTATGGTCTGCTTGAGAAGTTTCTGTGTACTTCGAAATAACGTGCGGTTATATGGACGCTCAGGGTCGCCATGTTACTTCTAGTGCGAAAGCTTGTGTGCACGATTTCACCTACCGCAGGCAGGAGTGGAACTCAGGACTAACCCCTGGCAGTAGAATGCATCCCCGTGGAATTCAAACACCACGATTGTCTGTCCGAAGAGCACTACCATTTGCATTAGGGAACTAGAAAACCTCTAAATAAAAAACTAAATATTGTTACAATTTTATAAAATTACAATTATTGAGTTTTTTGACATTATCCATTCTTCATTTATGTACATTTTTGTTTAAACAAAAACTGGAGACTTTCTGCAATTAGTGAGCTTTTTAATGTTATGCATCGTCCTGCTTTTCATTTAAATATATTTCTATAGAAATGATAAGCAGGCAGATGGAGAGAGCGCAGCGAGACTGCATGAGCTTTGTACGCCGGTCACTCGGCATCATAATGATGCGTGTTGGAATGACAACTGGCAGGGGAAACCTGGGCCTCTGTGGTGGGAAGCCGGCGGCTAGTCCCCGGAGCTACAGCACTGCCAGCCTCTACATTAGCGAGGACGCCGTGTCTGATGGGCTGTAGCACCACAACAAAACTGTTGACTTGTTGGTAAAAGCGTTTCTGGTTCTGGTGCCACTTGCTGGGAGTCCTACGGCTCTCTTCTCCGTAGCGTCTGAGACCCACTCAATGGGTTTCGGTGCCTGAAGCGTGAAACTGCCGACGTCATATGTCTTCATGGCGTGGCGCTTAGTTAATTAAGCGCCTTGACAACTTTACCTTACCTACAGAAAATTTCGAATTGGGGTGCAGCACTAAGAAGAAACTGGTGAGTAATGGGGGCCTTGCGTTGGCCTGAGCCCTAGGGGGCTCGAAACTGGCTGCACCCCTAAGAAGCAGCTCCCTTGTGTCGTCTCTTGCTCGAGCCAAGGAGCTCTTGTCTGAATACAGATACAGAAAACCTCTGTACTGCGGAGACCAAATGTCGAGCCGGGTTGCAGCATGAAGAATGTCCTGAACAGATGCGAGGAGGCTTGGCTGGTCTCGTCCTGCCTCTTGTCGGAAAGAATTAGGAACCATTTCTGAAGACGTCATTATTAATGTCGAATTCATCTTGACAAAGGCATTTGATGGTAAAACTTGTCACTGTGTTTAATTAATTAAGAACCACGACACGAAAAGTGGCTCAACCTTTATTGGCCTTGACACTAGATATAGATGAATGGTTAAATGCATGCTCCGGCCGCTTTAACCCCATGGAATGAGTCCCTAGTACCCACTGAATAGGAAGCCGGGTGGATCCCAGTGCCGGTCTACACGCTAGGTGTTATGGAATTGAGAAAAATCTCTTGTCTCTACCGGGAATCGAACCTTAGCCGTCCAGCCTTAGCTCGTACCTACTTTTATTTAATTTTTACTAACAGGACAGATAGAATAATAAATAATACAATAAAGTGGACTTCAGTATAATGACACATGAATCCACTTCTGCACTGTATACCCAAAAAATGTATATGATTGCTGCCCATTTACTTTCACGAACCACGCTTATAAAGGCTAATAAGATTATAGGATTTTGATGTATTTTGAAGCATTAGTCACATAATATGATATTTTAAATAGTTTTTATACTTATAATTAGACATTCCTGAAAATGGAAGAATGCTGCCGAAACATGAAGTAAATATTTTGATGAATATGACCATTGCTAGGCAGCGGTTCAATAAGCACGTTCCCGCGGCAAAATACAGACACAGTAAGAGACGAACTGTTGGAGGTAGTGATCTCTCTTCTGTTCGCCCTGTTCGCCCCGAGTTATAACAGAGAGTTCGTAAAAGAGTTCAGTGTTCAGCTGTGGAGTGTTAACCTGTGAACAACGGAAGCTGAAGAAGTGACCGATTCGTAAAAGAGAACCCAGTCGGACACAGTGGAAGAGAAGACACTGGTAGACCAGTAAGAAACGGACCGAGTGTTAGGCAGCCATTGATTGTGAGCTGTTGTAAGAGGCTGTAACTGTAAAGACGTGCCGATAAATCCGATCATCCAACCCAGAACTCATTATTCGTCAAGCAAATTCCTCATGTGTGAGAATATATTATTAGATGGAATAAAATATAGTCCTATCGGCCGTACTTATCACATTATAAAGTCTCTGTAGTAGAGTGGACAGAGAGAAACACAGCAAATACTCTTCGAGGACGCTGCAGGCCGTTTTATGTAACAGTGACATTAGCAAGTGGCACGAACTGAACGGACCTGCACTGACAAACACAAACTGTAACGGGGAAAGCTCTCCAGCTATCAGCAAGAGGCCTGCCCATCCTCAAGCAGTGATATTACTACTTTTATTTTTGCCGAAGCTCTAGAGGAAATAGCAGACCATGCAGTGTCTCTAAATGTTTCCTTTGCGATCTTAAGTCCACCGGTGTTCTTCATTTTAATTTATTAGAGATTCGATCGTACACAAAGGTAATCGACCCTACAGGTAGACCTATCGAACAGCATAAAGTTTTCAGTTAAATATGCAAATGTTAAAAAAAAATATATTACAAGAGCCTTAGGTTGTGCCTTAATGAGATCTATGTTTGTTACGTCTCGTAGGATCGACTGATATTTCCACATGCAACGGAACTTTCTTCCTTGTGAAATTCGTCTACTACGTTCGATGCTGGAGTGAGCAGGGAACATGGGTTAATGTAAATCCGGAACACTAAATCTAATGGAGAGCCTGCAAACAAGCCCACTTTTACAAATGAAACATTCAGATGAGCACGCAAACTTGCTTTTATGCTTCACTGATTATTCGCAACTTGTTGCTGTACTCACGCACTGCAGTCTCCTTCCTTGGGGCCTCTGCTGGCACGCCCACCCCCCTACGGCGCTGTTCCCGGCTGCGAACTTGAGAACTGCAGATAAAAACTAATTCGCTAGAGGCAGCGCAGGAAATCCCATCTTGGCAGTCTGACGTGCCATGGAGACTGGACCAGAGTGTGAGGGAAGTCAGCCAAATTGCTCTTAATTATGTAATTAAACACTATGTCATTAATGCATATGGAGGAGTGAAGGCAAAGCTCCACCATTCTTGCCCTCTTAACCTAGGCACGGTTGAGAAACACTGCACTGGGGGGGGTGAGTGGTTAGCGTTACGCATGAACTCGGAGTACCCATGGGACAGGAGTCTGGGTGGGTCCCAGAGGCGGTCTGGAATCTATAGACAAGAAAAACAATTTTTGCCTTTACCGGGAATCGAAACTCGGTCGTCCATCCCTAACCACTATACCGACAGAGTAACGCCGCGGAGGTCGGCATGAAATTCAATGTTATGAAAGACTGCGTAAAAATAAAACTCTGTGAAAGTATTTTCTTGAGTGAGGGAAACTATTGCCAACACTGAAAGGTCGGCTTTCGAGGAGGCGAATATTCAGAATTTCTGGCCCTGGGATATGATACCGTAAAGCGCTGTTCTCTGGGTGGTTACGTCCACCACAAACCTCGCGCCGTGGCCTAGACCTCCCAACTCTTGCCGGGTTGTGGCACCGGGAAGAAAAGCGAAAGCCTGTAAGAACAAATTGCTGCTGTGTTGGACAAACATGAAAAGCTGGAGGTTCTAAAAGGTGAGGCAACCATTAATAGTTTGTTTAGTCCCGTACAGCTATGAATATTTCTGCGGCTGACCATTCTATTGTGGCTATTGACTGAAGACGGGAGCACCGCTATGTCCATACTCACACATGCGCACGCGCGCACACGCATGACATCATGTCAGTCAGATGCAGGGACACAACTTGGAAGGAAGTCGGCAACAGTCATGTTTCCTCAGGTAAGCGTTTCGTAATATCCAGTCTCACTTGCGGACGCAGATCTATACAATGCAAAAGAACAAAACTCACTAGACTGGATAATATTGTATTTTAGAATTCTCCTGCACTAGCTTTATCACAGCGCAATCTGCAATGCAGCTTTGTGGTTGGAACACCTCCTAGTCCACGTCTTCTTAAGTAGGCAGTCCCCTGAAACTGGAGTCTCCAAGGATTATTCATCGGGCAAAATTTTAATTTGATAAAGGTTTTATGCTTAAGCCACCTGCCATCATTTCGCTAATTCACAACATAACAAGTAGGAAATATGCTCTGTGCACAGTCACAAAAATACATTCAGAAGCTGAATAGTTTTGCACTTCGGCGAAACAACACCAAGGGGTGTCTATCTGAACTTATGCAACGCACAGTGGCCGCGCGGTCTAAGGCATGAACTGTCTTCGCACGCTGAAACACTGGGCTCGTGGGTTCGAATGGATGCCTCCATTGTTATCCTGTGTTTGTGTTGTTCTGTGTGTAGGTAAAGTTCTTGTGACGGGCTGATCCCCTGTCCAGGGAGCCCTACCGACTCTGAATGCGATTAAGAAACCGGAAAATCTGCCAAGGTCGAAAGGGCTGTAGAGCCATGGGGGAAAATTTAGATTTTTATCTACTGAGTTATGATAGCATGCTGTCTCCTATCACCTGAAGATGGAAGGAGCAAGCTCCTCCGAAACTTTCCTAAGCACATACGGGACTACACGTTGTCGTAAGTTAGAAGACCAAAATCAAAATTTTCACAGCCGGGCAGACATCAAACCTCATGATTAAAAACATACCTGTAAGGCAAATGGCCGTCCGCTAATGTTCTGTCCAGTACCGCTTCATTACATGTACATATATACTAACGGTAAGTTATGTAATTGAAGAGATTGTGTTTGCTATGGCTATATAGGAAACGATAGAAAGACAGTTTGGACGGAATATAAAAGACGGTTGATCAAAGGTAAAAAAAAATTATAAACCCACAAGAAGGAAAAGAACAGGAAAACAAAGGTGACGCTATAAAGAGATTTGAACCCGGTACAAAAAAAAAAAAAACTCCGTGGTCTGTAGTTCGCAAGCGAACTATACTGACCGAGCGACCGCCGCTTGTCGGCGAAGTTAGTGCCAATTTTAGCAGATAGAGGGTATCACGTGGTCAGTGCAACGGATTCTCACGGCCGTTAATTTCAGTTTTCTAGACCGGAGCCGCTACTCTTCCATTCAAGTACCCTTACGAGGCTGAGTGTACTCCGGATTTGAACCCAGTACAAGAATATTAACTACCCTATCCGCGGGCGCAGTATACCAAAATGCACACTTTGATAGGTGAAGGTGCAAGTGCAGATCTCCCGATAAACCCCCTCTCCTTGAGCAGAGCACGACTCCATGCTGTCAAACTAATCTGACAGCAATAATTTACGGAGGCGTATCGACGTCGGAACAAATCATCCTGTGAACCAAAATTAAAAGTTTAAACCAGCTACTGTTTCGTGAAGACGTGTCTTTGAAATCTCTCTCTCTTTCGCACGGCTATAACGCATTAAGAGCGATTTCCCTTCGCGTACTTCGGAAACTTTCAGTTGATACACATGCATAACAAGTAGGCTCTATATCCCGATTTTTGCGTACTCTTATATTCGCGATTTAGTCTCCGAAATATCGAATAATTAAGCGCCGCATCCCCATATATACGTGATTTGTTATGCCCCTTTCTTAGTTTCTCCGGGTGGGGTGAGATTGAGTTCAATTGATACGCCTGCCACTAATTAGCCTATTGTACTCGTATCAGCCCCGGATGAGAGATGATGAGTGAGGAGTGTGAATGAGAATTGGCAGTGTACTTGGAGAGAACCTGCCCCAGTGCCACTTAGTCCACCACAAAACCCACATGACCTGACCCGGGCTCGAGCACGGGCCGACAAGGTGGGAAGCCGGTGACTAGCCCCTTAAGCTATGGCGCGGCTTTGTTGTCCTCTACTGAGGCTCATATCTGAATTCCATTGTTGCTGTGTCCCATGTGGAAACGTGAGCATTGCCACTTGCGGAGCAGAGAAGTAATTGAACACATGTAAAATGGTTCTTGCACATTATTAAAACGGCATTTATAGCTACAAACTCGCCAGTGAGAAGTAACCCACTGGTTTTACAGATGCTTGTGTTTGCTTTGGTTGTCACGTGGGTACGGTATGGGCTGGCCAGCGACCTGCTGGCTTCCAATTACTCCAAAGTGGCTCGCTCTGGAACAGCGTACAGTAGTGCCTCTGTCAAGATCGGCCATAATCTGTGAGTACCGAAACAATTTGCAGAGTCCAGCAGCTGCATGGCTTGTGCTGTACGGTTGTGCAGAAGTGTGACTGTGTGCCTTTGCATCCCTCAGGGCTGATGTACCGCACAACACCAATATCAGCGTCATGATCGGGGTTGAGCCAGACTCTCGAGCAAGCACCAACAGCTTCGTCGTTTACGCGAAGAGTTTTACAGAGGACGCAGGTAGGTCTGGGTGTCTCAGCCCATCAGGGCTATGGCAATGGATGGTTATTTGCAGGAGTTGAGTGAGACCTCATTCTTTGGCAGGAATCTGGGTGACAGACAAACTATCCAACTGGCTGAATAATCCCTTGTTTAAGTTGACAGGTTTCTGTCTAATTATAATAACTGACAAACATGTTAACTGTACAATTAACTAGATAAGTAAGTAATCAATTAAGCGGCCTCCGTAGTCTAGAGGTAACGTTCCCACCTCATGACTCGTAGTACGCGGGTTCAAATACCCGGCGGAGGTCGTCGAATTTTTAAGGGCGGAGAAATTCAGGGAACAAGTCCTCCGGGAGGGACTTTAAGCCGTGGGTCGCGTGTCGTAGCTTTACGGCACGTAAAAGAACCTCATATCTCCAAAGGAGGTCACTGAGCCAAAATTCCGGACGTTTCCCGCCCAACAGCAGTCTCTAATACCTCTGGTAGATGGGGGAAGCATTATAGATACCTCTCAGCTAGTAGAGCCGGTCTCGCTGGTTGGGCGGGACTGATGGTAAGCACCAGTACCGGTAGGATATAGAGACTGGTAGAAATCATAGAGGGAAGCACAATGGACCAATACAGGTCTAAGTGCATGGGGAAACCCACCCTCTCCAATAACTAACTAACTAATTAACTAAGTAATCAATTGATTTTGTAGCTAGGCAAACTGGTTAAATAACTGAACGACCAATTAAATGCCAGGCTAACTAATTAATAAAGCAACAAACTGATTTTTCATCATATAATAACACTCGTTATGTCAACCACTTTCATCATCAATTTACAGTTGCTATCTGACCATCACAGCAAGTACAAACTACAAGGGTATTAGGGAAACGTGCCCCCTGTTCTTATGCACTGCTGTATGAAGCATGGGGACATCAGCGTAAAGCTCCATGCATTCTAGGAGTCAGATCCTGGGAGAGGTTAACTTTACGCTTCGGCTGCTTTACCTTTGATGGAGAAGCCTCCAGTAGCTATTAATACATGTAAGCAATCGTAAAGTTCTTCGTTCTGCACTCATTGTTACCTTGGCAACCACAGAACAGAAGGCAGTTTGAGAATATAACTGAACAAAGACAGTCTACTGGTTTCTGCACATACGAACTACAGGGGTAGACATTGTTGTTTCAGTTATAACCATTTGAGTGGAAATATCTTTCCGTTTCCAGAAAACCAAAGCAGTGAGAGGAACCTCCCGATATCTGAAGCCAGGATGACGTCAAGCAACACGGACTTCAAGTCCGCACTCAGCCACCTGGCGCAGGATGTGCGATACTACACAAGACCAGTGTACAGGGCACAGGACAGAAACGGGGGTCCTGAGCCACTAACCTCCGTTCATCACTCCCAAGACTCAACTAAAAGAGGCACTGACCAGTCACCTCCTACAGCAAACTACTCACACTACAAGGCACCGCAAATCTCTCGATACACAGAAGCGACACAAGATAAAGCCTCCGGTTTAAACGACTCTGACAGGGAGCCGCTACCTCAAGACCCTTACAGCGGACCAGATTCATACCACACAACTCCTCCAGCTCCCCCCAAGTCTCCACTGCCACCGCCCACGGACATGCTTCAGCTGCAACCGCCGAAAAAATCTCCCATGTCTAATATTTTTAAATACGACCCCCAAAAATCGAAAGAGCCCGTCGTGCAGCCCGTGGATACCTATCGAATTCCGCCATCGACAGACTTCTACAAATCGATTGTATCTAATTATCGATCTCCAGATCCAAAAGAGCTCTACACAGCCTCAGTGGAAAATTACCAACTTCAACCACCGAAAGAAATTTATGAACCTGAGATAGATGCGTACCAACACGCGAGACCAAAAGAATCCATGAAGTCACCTGAGCAGATCTACCAACCCCCAAAGCCAAAGGATTCTTTAACACTTCATATGGGCATGTACCAACCTCCAAACCTCAAATATTATTACAAACCACCAATAGATTCCCATGAGCCTCCACTAGCAAAAGAACCCCACAAGCCCCCGTTGGTTCTCTCCCCAGAATTCTACAAATCTTCTATGGAAGCAACCAAACCATCGAAAGATCCTCATGACGTGCCTCCGTCGGCAGACTCACTGATTCATCATTCCTCTCCATCAGAAGATGTCAATGATCATCGTCCACAAGAGCCCTCCTATACCGCGCACTTGCAAGACGACGTATATGTAGACTACGACCCTTCTTCACATAGTCACAAGGAAAAGTTACATGAGCATGACCATCCTCATGATCACGATCATTCTCAAGAATATGTGTACTCTCATCACGAACCTCCTGCCCCACCCAAAAATTCATACGGAGCTCCGCCACCCCCCTCGAAAGACACATACGGACCTCCTTCCTCTCCATCAAGACAACCGTATGGAACTCCACCACCCCCATCGAAAGACATATACGGGGCTCCACCCCCGCCAAAAGACATATATAGAGATCGGCCTCCCCCTCCAAAAGGTTCATATGCAGTTCCGCCACCTCCGCCCAAAGAAACATATGGAGCTCCGCTACCTCCACCACCTCCGCCAAAAGATTCATATGGAGCTCCGCCGCCTCCGCCAAAAGATTCATATGGAGCTCCGCCCCCTCCGCCAAAAGATTCATATGGAGCTCCGCCCCCTCCAAAGGAACCATATATGTATGATGCGTCGCCATATCACCATGCCTACGGTGCCCCACCAGCCCCACCCATGGCACCGCCTCCCCCGCCGCCACCGAAACGCAAGCGCTTTGGCTATTACCAGATTGGCCGGAAGCTGTACCTGATCCCCGCCTACTTCACCGCCCTCTTCATCCCCTACGTGCTGGCCCTCATCATTAAATCCGTGTTGAAGCGCAAGGTTCGCGCGCCTTTCAACTACTGGGCAGCAACACAGAGCAGGGAGCTGGGCCCTGACGTCACGGCAGAACGCGTCGCGAGGGTCGCGAGGGCCCTGCAGGCGGCAGGGCGCAGGTACAAGTGAAGTGGGCCACTTCTGTGCTGTAAGGCCTAAATAAACCAAAATTCGTTCAACTGTTGGAGATTTTAGGAGAATATTTAGGTCTCGCTGTGATGTAGGTAGGGGTTATTTATATTTCACTGGTTCCCGGAAACAAACAGCACACGAAATTGGGAGATCGCGCGTCTGTGAAGCTGCTGAACTGACTGCGGTGAAAAGTTGCAAATGGATACGCGTCTGGAAGAGAATTCTCTATAGAAATGTAATTTTGTCGTTACTGGTTCACTACAGAACTTCCCCTACACGAGGCCGCAGTCAGACTAGCAATTTGCTAGGAAACACTAGATTAAGACAACAAATAACCTATAAGATATAAGGTTTTATATTTTTATTTGAAACATTTTTCGATACGATGTATATTTAACGAAATAAAAACAAATTAATATGTTTCTCTAGTCCTACTTAGCTTTGTTAAAAAGACTTTCAAATATGCTTCAAGTTAAGCACAACTTGGAGCCCATTTGTGTCACGAAGGTCCACCATATGATGATTAGTATAACAGACGAGAAGGGATTAACACGTGTTTACAGTAAATGAACGGCGAGAACACTGTTGAATGAAAGTTTGTAAACATGGCGCTTGGACACTGGAGTCCATTTTTCCAAGCTTGTCATGTAGGCTTCGTTCCGTGCGCTTCCCAGCCAACCGGCTTATCGTTCCCTGACATGCAGTCTCACCTACTGACGCCATCGTTAAGTAAATCATAAATAAATGTATAAAATAAAATAAATTAAAATTACACTGTGGCAGTGAGTGACATTTTCAAGTAATTTAAAAGCAATCTACATAGTTCACATGCAAACGCTGCAGTTTTCATGAAATTATTCTGATATTGATTGAATTTTAAGTCCAGAAAGACTACAAATTGAGCATTCGTGTTCTGTCATTATTACTGTACAATAGGAAACAAAACGGAATGTTTGCGCGTTTCTTCAATAAATATCTGGTGAGAAGTCACTAGCAAAGAGTACTTAGGGCAGAGAATCCTAGCGGATTCAGTAGCTCTTGTGTTCTGAACCTCCGTCCTTAGGAACACAAGAGTAGAGTGGGGCCACTCTCCGAGACACAACTTGGCAAGACATCTAGACGCCTCTAACGGCTATGGGTTCAGCCATGCGGCAATCTTAATGGAATCAAGGTGCGCCATGAGGTACAAACTGCCGAAAAAGATTTTTTCCGATCTGAAAATTCACCTTTCTTCGAACAGGTAACTTCGCGCCCAGTCACACATCTGCAGATCATCATGTTCCTATGTTTTATTCAGTTACTATAACAACTGATGCTTTCCTACTTGACGCGCAGGCGTGTGGGTGCGTGTGCAGTGTCAGAGAGCTTCTGCCAAGTTCCAAAGCAGACACTGCGTCTGGTAAGGATATTGTGTACTTAAACATAAGGAGCCAGCGGTCTTCAACCACTCGATTACAGTTTCGACTTCCGGTGAGGACTTCGCTGGCCGAGTTCGTACGTTGTGCAATAGAAACAAGCCTAGGTGTCCCTAATTACTTGCTGTTGACTACTAACCAGCCGGACAGATATGCAGATTGCTTTGGTAGCACTAAAATGTATAGGCAGGTGCAGTATGCGGTGTAGGAGAGCTCTAATGGCAGGTGTGAAACAACAAACCCGCTACACGACTCTGTCTGATGGTCAGACGAAAGGCAGCCACTGTGAGCAGCCATGACTTCGCGGGTAAGTACAATGGGACGAGATAACAAGCCATCGGCAGATGGACAAGTTTGGTACTTCCAAAAATCTGATCGTTCACATTCTGCTTAGTTTTCGAAGCGCTAAACGTCACACGCACAGTCTGTCAGTTGTGGCACGTAAAGTAACCCGAGCTGAAAGTGTTTCGAAACAAAGTGCTCGAGAAAATACGAAGGAAACTGGAGGCAACTTTATTTGAATTAAAAGAGCGGTGCTGGTAGCAAGAAGAAAGCCGTCTTCTGGGGTGTGGCGCCGTGTAGATATTGTGTTAACCGAAGTTTCGGAGGGATGTAACGCCTCCATCTTCAGGGTAGAACAAAAAGGAAAATCTGCGAGCAGGGAACAAGTGTGAGTAGGTGCTAACAGACTAATGTCGAGTCTGTTAACACCTGCTCCCAGAAAACTACTTTCTTCAAAGTCACCGCTGTGAAAAGCTCAAATTTACGTAATACGTATGTAACTTCCTGTGTCTTCAGTAGCACGTTAAACCTGTCTGCCCCGTTCACAGTACGTATCAAAGAAAAATAGAAGAAGAACTCCTATAATATAAGTTAGATTTAGCGGGAGTACAGGAGGTCAGTTGGGACGGAGGTGGCATCGCACAAGCAGGCTAATATACATTTTTCTATGGAAAGGGGAATGAAAATCAGGAATTAGGTACAGCTTTTTTTTTGTACCTAAGAGAATCGTATCAGCAGTTAGGAGGGCAGAGTTCGTTAGTGACAGGATATCATATATAATGCTAAAAGGTGTCTGGTGTGATATCGTTATGAATGTTCACGCCTCAACAGAAGATAAAATTGATCACATAAAGGACAGGTTCTATGATGCACTAGAAGATGTATTTGATAAATTTCCGAAGTACCCTATGAAAATGTTGTTAGGAGATTTCAATGCCAAAGTAGGGAGGGAAGACATTTTCAAACCAACTACTGGGAATGAGAGTTTGCATGAAATTAGTAATGATAATGGAGTCAGAGTAGTAAATTTTGTCGGAACCAAGAATCTTACTGTCAAAAGTACAATGTAACCACATCGTAACATTCATAAATTTACTTGGACATCTTCTGATGGGAAGATACACAATAAGTAGACCACATTTTGAAGGATAGGAGACGGCACTAAAGTACACTTGATGTCCGATCATTCAGGTCAGCAGACTGTGATACTGACCACTGCCTGGTGGTGGCAAAGGTTAGGGAAACACTGGCGGTGAGCAAACAACGCACACAGAGTTCATATGGAGAGGTTCAATCTCAAGAAATTAAATGAGGTACAGGGTAAAGAGCAGTATCGTGTTGAAATCTCAAATGGGCTCGCGACTTTGGAAAACTTGGTCACTGAGGTGAATGTTAATAAAGCTTGGAAAATTATTAGAGAGAATATCAAAATTTATGCCAAAGAGAGTTTAAGTTATTATGAACTGAAGAAACATAAACCATAGTTCGATGAAGGATTCTCAAAATTATTATACAAAAAGAAACAAGCCAAATTTCAGTGGTTACAGAATCCAAGCGACATAAATGGGGATAATCCGAACAATATAAGACGTGAAATCAGCAGGCATTTCAGGAACNACCAGCCCTTTTGAGGTTGAAAGTGCTATTGCAAAATTGAAAAGGGTATATAACGCCAGGTAGTGATCAAATTCTGGCAGAACTTTTACAAGCAGGAGGCGAAATATTACATTATAGGATCCATGAGCTAATTACTTCTATTTGGCATAAAGAAAAATTGCATGATCAGTGGAAGGAGTCTATTATTGTAGCAGTTCACAAGAAGGGCGATAAAACTGGCTGTAGTAATTATCGCGGGATATCACTGCTATCAACTTCATATAAAATGTTATCCAATATTCTTCTGTCAAGGTTGAGTCCATACATAGATGAAATTATTGGGGATCATCAGTGTGGGTTTCGACGTAACAGATCAACTGCTGATCAGATCTTTTGCATTCGTCAGATATTGGAGAAAAAATGGGAGTGCAATGAGAGAGTACATCAGCTATTTGTAGACTTCAAGAAAGCCTATGATTCAGTTAGGAGGGAAGTATTGTACAATAATCTGTTAAACTTTGGTGTACCCATAAAACTAGTTAGGCTAATAAAAATATGTTTGAACGAAACGTATGTTAAAGTCCGTATAGGTAAATATTTGTGTGGTAATTTTCTTATCCAGAATTGTCTAAAACAAGGAGATGCTTTATCGCCACTCCTTTTCAACTTTGCCTTAGAATATGCCATTAGGAAAGTCCAGGGAAACCAGGTGGGACTGAAATTAAACGGGACACATCAGCTGTTGAGGAGGTTGGTCTAGAAGTAAACACAGAGAAAACTAAGTACATGTTGCTGTCTCATCACCAGAATGCAGGGCAAAATCATGACATAAAGACAGGAAACAGATGTTTTGAAAGTGCGGCACAGTTCAGATATTTGGGAACGACGATAACCTACCAAAACCTGATTCAGGAGGAAATTAAGAGGAGATTGAACTCGGGTAATACTTGTTACCATTCAGTCTAGAGCCTTTTGTCTTCCCGTCTGCAGTCCAAAAACATAAAAATTAGAATATACGAAACTATAATTTTGCTTCCTCTTCTGTTAGGATGTGAAACTTGGTCTCTGACATTAAGGGAGGAACATAGACTGAGGGTGCTTGAGAACAGGTTGTTGAGGAGAATATTTGGACCGAAAAGGGATGAAGTGACAGGAGGTTGGAGAAAACTGCACAATGAGGAGCGGCCCAGTGGAGGGCTCTTGCGAAGACAGTGAAGAACCTTCGGGTTCCATAAAATGCTGGGAAATTCTTGAGTAGTTAACAACTGGTGGCTCCTCAAGAAGGGCTCAGCTCAATAAAGTTCTTAGTTAGTTAGTTATTAATATGGCTCGCCCAGAAGTACCAATAAGACAGACTCGTGATGAGAAGTGTCTGGTTCAGTTGGAACACTGGAAAATCGGGACTGCGTTTACAGGAATATTTTTAGTCTTACACTAAAATGGGATTCCCTCGCATTCCGCAGGCTTACTGTTTCTCATTTGAGGTCTAAATAAATTCTCCAATTAAGAGCGTCGTCAAATCTCGAACTATTCCAGCGATTAATACTGAATATCATCTGTAAGTTCGTGACGATGGTGAAATAATCAGTGATCAATTTTTAGGCATTTCGAAGACTAAAATCTGTCTGCGTCATTGGATAAGAAAATGTACTGTGCTGGACAAATCGATATAAATAGCATCTATCTGTGGACCGAAAGTAAGAAGACGGGGCGATGGATAATGTCCAAACTGTCTATCAGTACACTAAGAATAATGTTACTACGTAACGAAAGTCTTCTCTCTTAATTAAAATGTGTTCATTTGAAATGCAATGTTCTTGCAGGGACTGGTCCTACCTCTGGTCGTCCATTTTATCTTAACGTGGCTACAAGATGGAGACGCTAAGCCGCAGCTCTTTGCTCCAGCCTACGCAACTGTGACGCGCATTGGAAGCGCCACCTCTGCTAACAAGTCGGAGAGTACTGCCGGGTACGTGACAACAGTTGGCTACTTTTATGAAATTCAAAATCTGAACACCCAACTGTCTACTTCAGGGTTCTCAGGGAAGGTACCTTTTTTTCAGAACCCAATTATTCACTTACGTCCAGTTGTTCTCCTGCTTTCGATCGTAATACGGACATAGTGTAAATGTTACAGACATAAAGTCAAAGATATTAATGAAAATTGCCTATTAGCCCAAGTATACGCAAGGTTTTCTTTTCAAATACAGATTCGTATAAAAGGGGAAGATGATGATTATGAGGAGCTTAAGTGTTAATTCTAGTGGTATTTGTAAAATGCCTAGAAATATAGTATTTATTTGAATTTATTGCTTATTAATGATATAATTTTTACATATTTTTGCTTATAACCCTGGGAAATAAATGCCATATTCAAGTTTGTAAAAAAACATTTAGCTTAATTAACTCCTTACAAAAACACGGGGTCGCCTTATATGGCACGTATTAACGTTGTTACTGGAGTCCTGACAAGCTGTTTACTTACGGTACTGATGTCGGGGTGCCGAAGCTCTGTGGAGTATCTGTATTGTATCAATGGCTCAGAGAACACGTTTTCTTTTTAAATATCGCATTGACGTATCAGCCATGCCTGAAGAGCGTGGTCGGATCACATATTTGTTTACGTACCTCTTTGTAAGAAACGTTTGACATCAACTTGTGCTCCTCTCAACGCGCGTCCACATTTCTCGTGCTCTTGCTCGTGTGACTCGCTATGCTTGGAGTAATGTGGATGATATGACAAGTCACGAGACAAGCAAATTTAAAATTTTTAATTTAAAAACTATAGCCAATAAATTAAAATACGACTACAGCCTATACACACTACGAGTAAATATACGGATCCTCACGCGCCGAAGCCTGGCGAGCAACTGAAGTAGTGTGGTCGAAGATTTACGAGCACAAGTAAAAGCCAGACGAGTCTCCCGACGAGCACAAGCCTGGCGAGCACGAGTAATGTGGGCGCGCCTTGATACAGAGCACCCGCCGTTTCATTGGCAGCACATCGCCACTCATCCCAGTGAAAACAGACTGAATATCGCACTCACTCCGTTAGCTTCCACTAGACAGGCTTACTGAGCTCTTCAAATTCATACACAATGGCTATCTCTCACTTTCGGTGATCAACAAGCTCTCAGAAAGCAACGATTTTCACCTATCTTGAGCGAGTATCGTACAATATAATTCACTTCTTCGGACTAGAGATAAATATCGGCAACACGAATTACCTAATTCACAGGGCTGATGAGTCACGTGATGCCAACAGCACGCGCTTTCGGAGCTATCTACCGGATCCCAGCGGAACTCTGCAGTACCCTCTGAACTACATTCATTTGCCTACGGCGGAAACGAAAACAACTTCAGAGAGTCAAGGTAAGTCTACATTTAATTAAATCTTTAGAATATGCACTTATTAATTATATATTTTTTTGTTATTGCTAGTGGGGTGGGACTAAGTCCCTTGTACTGCGGCAAATTCTGGCCTATTGTACCAGCCCCAGATGATAGGTGAGGGTGGTTGTGGAGCAATTGGTGGAATGAAGATTGGCAGGGGAAACCGAAGTACTCGGAGAAAACCTGCCCCAGGGCCACTTTGTCCACCACAAATCCCACTTGAAAAGACCCGGGATCGAACCCGGGAAGCCAGCGACTAACCGCTTGAGCTATGGCGCGGCGTAAATATAGGATTACAATATTTGTATCTTCAGCAGCTATGGCTTAGTTGTTCAGTAATCATAGCAATAAATACATATGATATACAGGATTTATGTATCACTTGTATTACTCAATTGTCCATTGCCACGAGAACAAAAGCGTAGGGTAGTTCTGATCACACACGAAGCAGATATGCTACTAGAATTTCATGTGTCTCTTTCCAGATATTCGTCATGATGCCAGAAATGGACCTGTATATTCGAACTCTCCAGTTATCTACCTGCCATACAATCACAAAATTACCGCGTCTGATCTACAGTACTACAAGCATCCTGTCTACATAGCAGAGGAACGTCCCACTGACCTCAGTCACCAGAAAACACAAGCCAGTAAACCACCTTCATCTTTAGTGGAGTTGAAGGACTTCTTTACAAACCACCCCCTGGACCTGAGTCGTTATGTTTCGCACATGAATGCAAATGAGTCTACAAAGCTACACACGTTCAGTTCTCAGAAAGCTGGTCTCTACAGATTAGACAAAATCACAGAACATTCTCATGAACCTGATACTCCTCTCTCTGAGTACAACGACGAAGAACATAATCTCAAAGGATCTCAAATATACTCAGAATCTCAGGATTCAGAAGAACCTGAAAATAATCCAGATTCATATAACCCCACAAACAACTTTTACAAAAATTCTGCCTATTTCATTCCTCCGTCAGGAATTTTCGACTTGGCTCCAAATTCGTCTCAAGGTTCGCACACGAGAGATCCGTATGATGGTCCTGATTCATACAATCCTCCACCTTACGGATCATCAGTTAAAGATTCAGACGGAAGATTCCCACCTCTGGATTCGTATGAACCTAACAATCACTTTTCACAAAACAACCACCCCATATCCCTTATGGAAACGAATAAATCTCCATCATCTACGCAAAATCATAAACCCCCACCATCTATGCATACATCCACATCCCAACCCCCCGCATATAAGTACAGAAATAAATCGCCTATGAATGTTTACCAACCTCCACAGCTACTGGGCGTTTATACTCCTCCATCATACACTCATGCTGACAGTTCGTTAGTTGCGAATGCTTATCAGCCTCCATCCTCCATGTATAAGGCTCCAACATCTGTGGGTACTTATAATGATCTTCCATCTTCTATGGAGACTAATAAACATCCAGGAGATAAGGATGACTACAAACCCCCACCATCTACTCATACTGGCACTAACGCATATAAACCATCATTTGTGGACACTTACAAACAATCGGTACAACCCATGGAGACTTACAGTCCTTCAGCACCTATGGGTACTCATAAGAATACATCAATGGTCGATACTCACAAATATCCTTCACCTGGAGATCCTCACGAACCTCCATCATCTGCGGATTCTTATAAACATCCTTCGTCTCTAAGTACTGACAAGCCACCACCTGTAAGTTCCGACTCTGACAAGTCTGAACCACAGAAGTATTACTGGCACCTTCACAACTTTCCGTCTTATGAACCGCACACCAATACGGATGCAGCAATAAAACATTCTTACACAGTACCACAATTAGAAGGCAAACCCGAACAGACTGTTTCGTCCGCAGACCAACCTCCTGAAGATGATGAATATCTGCAACACGATACACACAGCCATTACAATGACCACACACATGAACACCATCATGATCCTGACGAACATTCCCCACACTATCATGGTCACGGTCCTGACGAACATTCCCCTCATTATCATGATCACGATCCTGACGAACATTCCCCTCACTATCATGATCACGGTCCTGACGAACATTCCCCTCATTATCATGATCACGATCCTGACGAACATTCCCCTCACTATCATGATCACGGTCCTGACGAACATTCCCCTCATTATCATGATCACGATCCTGACGAACATTCCCCTCACTATCATGATCACGGTCCTGACGAACATTCCCCTCATTATCATGATCACGATCCTGACGAACATTCCCCTCACTATCATGATCACGGTCCTGACGAACATTCCCCTCATTATCATGATCACGATCCTGACGAACATTCCCCTCACTATCATGATCACGGTCCTGACGAACATTCCCCTCATTATCATGATCACGATCCTGACGAACATTCCCCTCACTATCATGATCACGGTCCTGACGAACATTCCCCTCATTATCATGATCACGATCCTGACGAACATTCCCCTCACTATCATGATCACGGTCCTGACGAACATTCCCCTCATTATCATGATCACGATCCTGACGAACATTCCCCTCACTATCATGATCACGGTCCTGACGAACATTCCCCTCATTATCATGATCACGATCCTGACGAACATTCCCCTCACTATCATGATCACGGTCCTGACGAACATTCCCCTCATTATCATGATCACGATCCTGACGAACATTCCCCTCACTATCATGATCACGGTCCTGACGAACATTCCCCTCATTATCATGATCACGATCCTGACGAACATTCCCCTCACTATCATGATCACGGTCCTGACGAACATTCCCCTCATTATCATGATCACGATCCTGACGAACATTCCCCTCACTATCATGATCACGGTCCTGACGAACATTCCCCTCATTATCATGATCACGATCCTGACGAACATTCCCCTCACTATCATGATCACGGTCCTGACGAACACTCCCTTCACTATCATGATCACGGTCCTGACGAACATTCTTCACACCACCATTATCACGATCCTGACGAACATTCCCCTCACTATCATGATCACGATCCTGACGAACATTCCCCTCACTATCATGATCACGGTCCTGACGAACATTCCCCTCACTATCATGATCACGGTCCTGACGAACATTCCCCTCATTATCATGATCACGATCCTGACGAACATTCCCCTCACTATCATGATCACGATCACGACGAACATGAAATATCTGGTGTTCCACCGTCAACTAAATATCACTCCTATCAACATCCACCGCCATCTGTACATAAAGGAAAACACACACCTCTTCCAGAAGAACAGTCCCCCCCAAAAGATACGGCTGGAACTCCCACACCCCCGTCAGAAGTAATGGTCAAACATAATGAATACCACGACCACGTGTATGATCCTCACCATCATGAAACATCTGCTGCTCCTCCACCAACTAAATATCACTCATATCATCATCCACAGTCATCTGTGCATAAAGGAAAACATACATCTCTTCCAGAAGAACCGACCACACCAAAAAATATGGCTGGAACTCCCTCATCACCTTCAAAAGAAATGGTAAAACAGAGCCATTCCCATGGCAACATGTATGATCATGAGCCTCACGATCATGACGATCATCCACCGCCATCCGTATACTCAGATCATTCATCTCATCCACACCAAGATTACATTTACGATCATGATCCTCGCGATCATCCACAGCCATCCGTATACATAGATCATTCATCTCATCCACACCAAGATCACATTTACGATCATGATCCTCATGATCATTATCCTCACGATCATGATCACGACGATCATCCACAGCCATCCGTATACATAGATCATTCATCTCATCCACACCAAGATCACATTTACGATCATGATCCTCATGATCATTATCCTCACGATCATGATCACGACGATCATCCACAGCCATCCGTATACATAGATCATTCATCTCATCCACACCAAGATCACATTTATGATCATGATCCTCACGATCATTATCCTCACCATCATGATCACGGTCCTGACGAACATTATTCGCACCAACATCAGTATGATCAGGGTAACCAAAAACTGCCTGCTGCTCCACCACTAACTAAATATCAACATCATCAACTGCCATCTCCCCCGTCCCCTCCACCCTCAACAGAAGGCATGGTCGGAGCTCCCCCATCCCCGCCAAGAGGTATGCTAGGGGCTCCCCCGTCCCCTTCAAAAGATATGGCTGGAACACAGCCACCCCCTCCGAGAGATACATACACAACTCCAAAGTACATGTATGTAACCCCTCCACAGCCTCCAAAATATATGTACATAGCTCCCACACCCGCTTCAGAAAGTATATACCCCCCAAAAGGTTCATACGGAGCTCCGCCGCCTCCTCTAACTTACGGAGCTCCACACCTTTTTAACTATATACATGGAACTCCTCCACCTCCCCCAAAGGATATGTACGGGGCTCCTCCACCTCCCCCAAAGGATATGTATGGGGCTCCTCCACCTCCCCCAAAGGATATGTATGGAACTCCTCCACCCCCTCCAAAGGATATGTACGGGGCTCCTCCACCTCCCCCAAAGGATATGTACGGGGCTCCTCCACCCCCTCCAATGGATATGTATGGAACTCCTCCACCCCCTTCAGACATGTACGGAGTTCCACAGAACGACACAAAGCCAATGGAAGGGAAACCGTTCATCACGTACTACAATTTTGGACGCAAACTATGGCTTCTGCCACTCTACGCTGGAGTCGTCTTCATGGCGCATGTGCTACTGTTACTTCTGAAGGCCATTTCAAGGCACAAGATCCTCGCCCCTTACAGTTTCTACACTAGCATACACGGCAGGAATCTCGAGTCAGCTTCGCAGCGTGAGCTGGACAGCACTACAGAGCACGTCACGAAGGCTTTGGATAAAGCAGAGTATCAGTTCATGTAAATAAATAAACCAAATAATAAATACACATCTGAACCAGTCAGTACATTGTTTCCATGACTTTAGAGCGGACAGCTCCAGTTTTGTGAGCCGCGATGAGACCTGTTAGGCCCTAACTATGTAATGCCATGCATCTCATTACTGGCAGCTCGCTGAAACATGTAGCATGCACCAAAACGATTTTAATTTTACTTTCTCACAAAATATTGCTTCTGGATATTTCAAATGCAGATATACTGCACACGCTTATGTCTTGATTATTTAACCCCTTAAAACACGAATGACAAAAAATACGAGAGGGCAATAAAAAAGAAGATAAGGAGGAGTCAGACAGGGCGGCGACGGATGTTTATTTCAGGATAAGAAAGCGCATAATTTCTGATAAGAGCAGTATAAAGAGGAAGACTCCAAAGTGACACAAAAGTAGCGAAACTTTGTCCTGTTTTACATCAAAGTACGAACACAATCAAAGGAACCTTCCAAAATATAGTCCCCATATCCAAGAAGACGCACTTTGCACTTCCAGTACAGAACTGTAAAGTAGTCGGTACATATGCTAGCGCTGTCACGTGGACATAATAGCTGTTATGAAGTAATTAAAACATATAATTCGTATAAAAATCTCTGACTTTTCTAAGAGACCCGGCATTTTTAAAATTTTCTGAGTTGCTGAATAAACTTCCCAAATTGAATGTAGAACGAGGTGAAGTCTGTCTGTCTGTCTGACAACATGTTTCCTTTTCCAGACTACTCAACTGGTTCCAAGCAAAGGATCTGCACTAAAATTCTGCATTTTGAGGCAGGCTAATGTAACACCCAAATTACATGGAACTCAAATGAAACTAGATCCATTTCCTGAATTATTGTTCAGTATTTCATGGGGCTCACATTGAGACTTACAGCTTCCGTTGTGATATGTGTGAAGCTAATGTATGATACTATCCTACTGACTAGGCGCGCGGTCTAAACCTATTTCGCTCGCTCGTACGCTGGGGTCGTGGGTTCGAATCCCACTCAAGGCATGGATGTTTGGTATGTGTCTTGCGTTTAGGTAGCGGCCTTGCGACGGGCTGATCACGCGCCCAAGGAGTCCTACCGTCTGTGAAAGCGATTACGGAACTGAGCAAGAGGCCAGGGGCCTGACTGGGCTGGAAGACCCACCGGAAAAAAATTCTACTGACTAATTGCGTTTTCAAGCAACATAATGTGTTCACTGCTCATCAGCTTTGCCAACAACAGAATTGACAGCTCCGTGCGGTACCAAAAATGATTAGTTCTGTGAACAAGGTATATTTATTTGCAATGGATGACTATCAGGACCTGTGAGAGTTGCTAAAGAAATGCATGGGGGGCGATATTAACGGAATCATTCTGAATTTGAAGACGTAAAGTCAATTGATTTCGACATGGAGGAGAGGCCGTGGAACTGTTACTGTCTGCAAGTGTGAAGCAGTCGGTCCGCTATGTCCACACACATGCACGCGGGCACGCGCTCGTCTGCCGTGGTACAGCAGTCTCATAGCGTCCGACGGACAGACCAGGGCTCCGTCATGACTGTGTGTGTAAGTACAAGCAAACTCAGCAAATCATTACGCAGGACAAAATCTTTGGTTTCGCAATATAAGTATGTACATATTTGTGAGTAAAAGTAAAGTACGTGTAAATTAGAGTAAAGCTATCCCTGTAACAGGGCGTGGAGGCCCATAGGGTTGCGAGACGTTGAGGTTCCCACATTTTCTAGACAATCGGCTCAAAGATGGCGGCAAGGTCGTCAGCCCCGGTACTCGTTTCTGTTAGAGGCTGAGTCGACCCCAGGGCCATAGTGCGGCTGGAAGAGTTAGGTCAAATGAAAAAACTCAAATGACCTCACTGGGACTTGAACCCCTTCCGGCTTGTAGCATAGTGCCTTAACCAACTTAACCGGTCTCTTCGACTCATCGGAAATCATTCGAAGCTGAGCGCCTGAAGAAAATGTAAAAGATTATTTTCGCATGTTTAATCAAAACAATAGAGTGAATTTATAGTGGGTCAAGCAGCAGACAAATCAATGAACCGATGCAGCAATCCCTCGCCGTCAGTGGACTTGCATCTGTGTGAGCAGTTTTGCAAACCGCGGTATTTGCTTTACGTGTAGCCAGTTCTTCATTAAAGTGCACACAGAAAATGTCTTCACTTGCTGGGGACAGAGCTAAAAATTAAATTTTCTTTCCTGCCTTCCAAATTTGCATTGAGTTATCTCTTGTGATATATTGCAATCGCATTTTATTGCTAGTGTTATTACGTATATTTGATTTTAGTTAAGGTACAAGCAATTTAATGAATTTTTCGTGATTATTAACAAGTAATGCGGTTATTCTGCTTCCAGTTTGCAGTAAAACCTTGGTCTCGCGAACAGCAGTTTTACTAATTCCAATGTTTGTCGGGAACGTAATCTTCACGCCTTGGGAGGGACTTCTTTATTTCAGATTTTACCGAGAAATTTGAGTTATGAAATAAAGTATTGATTGGAATATTGAAGAAGAAGGGTTTTCCAACATCACTTGAACAATTTGTCTCAAATACTCAAATCTACACGTAACAATGTAAACGCTTAACACACACAAGACGATAACGTATTCTGTTGTTTTGTGTGCGTTTCGAACTCAGTCAGTTCACTTTAATAGAAGAGAATAGGTCGAGGGCTTTTGGGAACAAGACACGAGAAGCAGCAGGCTAAATAAAACTGCGCAATGTCAGGCTTCACCATTTATCCTGTTCCATAAGACGTACTGAAAGTCTTGGCAAACTGAACGAGCATCAGAGGCTGTGTAAGATTTGAGGTTTTCACGGCGGTGACTATTAAGAAAGCAGTCTTCTGGGATGTATCTGCTTGTACCGGTTCTCACGGTCTCTTCGCTTGCGTATTTTCTTATTTTTCTTTCTATCCTGAAGATGGAGGCGATACGTTCCTCCGAAACGTCGGTTAACACCACATCTACACGGTGCCACATTCGAGAAGAATGCTTTCTTCATCAGATTCTATGTTCAAGAAATTCGAGTTACGAAAATGAACTGAAATCAGCCTCTAGAAAGATGAGTCCAGGAGCATACCCAGTTACTACTGCACATGCGCACACGTCATTCGTCTGCCTTGTTTCGGAACAAGTTCTCTCTAAACTCTTTTTCCAAGCAACTGGCGCATACCCGTTCCTCCTCAAATATGAATATATTCGTTTTTCTTTAAATCTTTAATTTCCAAGGCAGTAATGACTTAAACTTGATATTCATCACAAAACGCTTCTGATTTTGCATGTGCATTGACTCTTCGTAATACCAAGAGACAACTAAAATAACACAGCATGACTCGTATTATTTGGTGCTTTAGGTTAGATATTCCACATACAATGTAATATTTTGTTCAATGCTATTGATGCACTTAATCATTCGTCTGCTCAGAACTTCCATTCTCATTTTACGCCATTAAACATCCCGAATATTAAGCTTAGTACTTTCCTTTTAGCATCACTGAATCACTAAGTAGGTCCCTTGTCCCTTGTTCATAATGCTTTCAGCTACTGGACTGCTACTGACAAAGCCATACTGCAAACTGTCAACGATTTAGCTCCCTGTTGACTCCTATCAATTCCTCAGCCATGCCTAAAATAGCAGAAAAAAATATTGTTGTCTCCTGCTATAATACCTTTGACTTTTATAATTAAACCAGCCTATCGGTCTGCAAGACTTCAAATTTGTTGAAACTGTATAGGCCTGTTGCTCATAATATCCCAACTCTACTAATATGTTGCTTCTGTGAGCAAATTTCCTCTTAAAATTTGCAAGAAATCTCGTCAAACCAAATGCCTTAGTTATTAATTCTCAGTCTCTGACTAAAATATTGCATTTAAAAATAAACACAATATCGAATTCTACGGGAACAAAAATTTATACTTATACTTAGATTCCTGAGAATAACAATTATTAATACAGACAATAATAGAAATTTGTTAGACGTTTGGGGCTGAGGAATTGCGTGCTTTGGGTGAAAGTGAAATTGCGGCTCCTATAAATTTACACTAAGTCGAAAGAGGCATATCCTTTCACCGAACTTGCACAGTTTTGATCTCACCAAGTTCGTGTCATCTGACAAGACTTCGGAGGAGGAAGGACACACACTTCAACTCACTGCCTCCTCTGCCCCCACTGCACCCACCGATTCCCATGAGAAGTCTCAGAATCCTCCGTCACTTATCGTAAGGCCTGAGCAAAACACAGAGCCACACAGTTCACGGGTCACTGTAAAGCAAGTTGATCGCTCTCTTGTGTTGCGTATTGCGTGTTGCCGCCTGCACAAAAGCCAGAGCTGTTGATCCTGATGGTCGTCTGCATGCAAGATGGACATCCGTTCTCTCCCCCTGCACCCAGTGACACCAGAACATCCGTCACTGGCAACATCGCCACAAGGTGAGTACGTTTACGATTACGGCAATATGGCTCTCTTCCCATGGCAACGGAAGCCGCAGCCTGAAGCTAACCAGAAACAGTGCCGAGACACTCATCTAGTTGACCGTTCAGTGGTTACTGGTTGAGCTTTCTCTGGATGTAAAAGCGTAAAGCGGTCATAGCCTGAAACCTCTACCTCGTGACGATGTGTGTGTGTTCCTGTAATATGTTAGAATCAATTTACTTGTTTCCATGGAAACCTGGTGGGAGAAGCACGCAACTGGAAGCACTCTAGCTGCATCTCAATAGCAGTAGCAGTAGCAGTAGCAGTAGCAGTAGCAGTAGCAGTAGCAGTAGCAGTAGGGCTAGGCAAAGACGATAAAGCTGTCCCTGTGTTTAATTATAAAAAACATGAGGAAATGAAGACGAGTGAGGGTGGAGGTATAGCTCCACTCTTCTTGTCAACGGAATCAGATGGAGGTGAGTGGTCAGCTTCACTCTCTGGCCTCTTTACCCCGGGGACGAAGGCTGCATTGAGCCCAGGGGCGGTCTGGACGCTGTACTGGGAATTGAACACCGGCCAGTCCAGTCCCTAGCCCTTGTCCATATCGAATGAGCTACTCCGGCTCCAATAGTAATTCAGTTCAATTGAGCTCAATTCGTGTTTATCTACGTGCAAACTTAACAGCACAGAGGCCAATTACAAAGTAAGCAAGAGTATGTAGAAATACACAAAAATAATTAAAATACAAAATATGACAGACTATATAACGACAATAAATTAATGGTAATTATAATAATTAATAATTAATTAATTATAATNATATTTAAAAAAACGTTTGGGGAGAACTTTCCAGGCTCCGAATACGTGAAGGCCCGTACAAACAACATTAACAGCTGCTACACATCTAGCAGAGGGACAATTTTACATGAGGAGCAAACATTGAACAAAGCAAAGTCTCTGATATGCCGAGTAGGAACTCGGAGACCAACAATTTCCAGAACAGAAGGGCAGAATTTCGAGCCAAAGTAAACTTGAGTAAGAAAGAGAGCATCGAGGCGATGTCTCCTAGTGCGTAAAGTGTGCAATTGTAACTCCTCCAGAGCAAGAGAATGACTGTAGTGTACTTGAAGATAGAAACGATTAAAACAGAGGGCCGCAAACCTCTGCTGGATGCGTTCCAGCTGTTAGCATCAGTTGACGCAATCGAATAATCCTCTATATTGTTCCCAAATGATCCTGCCGCTCGGAACTGACATCGCACAAACAACCCGTTTCTGTTTCAGGCCCAGTAAGCCATGCACCAGCATCATCACGCACGACCGCCGCCATCTTGACGAAGCTTGTGTCGAGGGTATCCACCCTACTTCTGTTGTTCCGGCCCGCACTGGAGGTAGTGTAAACCGCTTTATGCTTCATCGCCTACAGACCGTGACCCCACACAGCCATGAGCAGTGTGTACCTAACTATTTGGAAGAGGGACACAGACGGAGCAATTTCATGGGCTGTTTTTCATTTGATCGAAATTCAATCCGGGACCTTCTTTTTTATCTTCATGGGGTGGGGTGAGGCTAAGTCCACTTGGTACGTCGGCCACCAGACCGGGGTGATAGACGAGTATGGAGCATTTGGTGCAATGAGAATTGGTAGGGAAACCGAAGTACTTGGATGAAACCTGCCTCAGTGCCACTTTGTCCACCACAAATCCCATATGAATTGACCTGGGACCCAACAAAAGTCTTCGCTCTAAGAAGCCGGCGACTAACCGCCTCAGCTGATCACTGCCCGATATGCGAGACCTACAGCTTAAATATTACCCACTCCCCTCTACTCTGATAACTGGTACGGAAACTTCCAGGATCCATTTTCGTGATATTTGTTCCATTCTGCATATTTTTAAGGCAAAACACTGAAATCCTACCCATCTACCTACCTACCTACCTACCTACCTACCTCTCTACCTATGTACAATCACTGTGGACCTTGGCCGATTTTTCACTTTTTTAATCCTATACAGAGTCGGTAGGACTCCTTGCACGAGTGATCAGCCCGTCGCAAGGCCGCTACCTAAACACAGAACAAGGCCGCGCCAAAGCTCAAGCGGTTAGTCGCTGGCTTCCCACCGCGGCGCCCCGGGTTCGATCCCGGGTCTGGTCAAGTAGGATTTGTGGTGGACAAAGTGGCGCTGGGGCAGATTTTCTCCGAGTACTTCGGTTTCCCCTGCCAATCTTCATTACACCAATTGCTCCACAATCACCCTCACCTATCATCTGGGGCTGGTACAATAGGCCAGAAGTGGTCGTAGTACAAGGGACTTAGTCCCAACCCACTAGCAATAAAAAACACAGAAGAACACAAACACAGATTAAATGCACGCACATATCCATACCTCGAGTGGGATTCGAATCGACGATCCTAGTAATAGAGGGGGCGAACAAGGTTCATGCCTCTGACCGCGCGGCCACTGTGACCGGCAGAGTGAAACCCTGCTTCTTACAATAACTGATTTCACTTTAGTGATTTCAAGAGAGCGCGCTGCACAGTGGCAATTGCCAGTATCACGAAGTTTAATATCAATAATATTCCATGCTTTTCGCCCAGAATTAACTGAGCACAGTGGTAGCGTGAGTTAATATTCCATGCGTTTCGCCCAGAATTAACTGAGCACAGTGGTAGCGTGAGTTAATATTCCATGCGTTTCGCCCAGAATTAACTGAGCACAGTGGTAGCGTGAGTTAATATTCCATGCGTTTCGCCCAGAATTAACTGAGCACAGTGGTAGCGTGAGTTAATATTCAATACGTTTTGCCCATTGGATGCAGACATTCTTCCTACAGAATTATCAGACTGATCTCAGTAACTTTAATTTGCAAGGAAATAATTTTTTAAGAATGATAGATTTAAGATGCGTAAAATAAATATCGTCTTGCAAATCTCATATTTAGGACATATCTCTTGGAAAACTAGAATGCTTTAGAGAAACCTACGCAGTGGATGACGACGATGACAGTGATTCGTGGTTTCCAGGTCTCCAGACTGATGCCAGAAACTCTTCCAGACCTGAAAGCAGAGTTGGTCTCCCACTCAGCACAGAGAACATATTCTCAGCCAACCATCAACACCGAAACTACGATTTCTACAGCCATTCAACGAAGGAGCCACGCATTTCATTCGATACATACAGAAGACCAGAATTCTACTTCCCGTTACCACGAAAACGATTAAACACAGGAGGAACAAGTTCTTATGCTTCAGAAGCAAAGCGTCCCAACAGACGCCATGAAACAGCAGAGCAGAGTGCACTTTACACACGGCTCGGGGCAAATCCAACGAGACAGGGAGATGCAACACACCAGTTCGAGTCCCGGATTTACCCGTACAGAGTGGGTCCAGATAAGTCTAAGACTTCCCTGGATACATATTCCCACTCTCATGAAATTTCCGTGGGAAACCCACCTCACGGTGTTATCTCTTATAGTCACGAAGCGTTCAAAGCAGAGCCACCCCCACATGCAATGCCACCAGCACACAAAATCACTCATGGCTACAGTTATGTAGAACCCTACCACGACCCACAGGAGCACCACCTGCAGGACTACCACTACGACCATTCTTATGATTCGTATGACTACGTTCACCACACTGACGTACCGGAGAAACCAACCACCNGGGCAAGTGCCTTACAATTTCCTGACTCACCCTCCGGAGAGGAATTTGCGTGATGACATCACTGGCCGCGTCATCAGAGCTTTGGAAAGAGCTCGAGGCCGCTACGACACGTGATGTCACACCTTGCATCCTCCGCCATGAAACAGTTCAGTCATCGAAATTCTTAACTGCGAATCACACAGCGAGGAAGCTAAGTACAGTGGCAAGAATTCACGCCATTGACGCCTCTAGCTTCGCTTCTCCTATTGGTTGTCTGACGCTTTTCTTAAAACCATGTTACCTGTAATGGGCTGCTGTTTTACGTTGTAAAATTAATTTAGAAAGTCAACTTATTCAAGGAGGCTGCCTCAGCTGCATGGACCACAGAACATGGAGCGCGGAGGAAAACTGTGACTGATGAACTGCAAAGAAGCGGGACGCACATCCCGAGCGAGACTGAGTTCAAGTCTCTGTGTGTGAAAACTTTTCTATCTTTAATTACCTTTTTGTTATTGCTAGGGGGTGAGACCAAGTCCCTTGTATTGCGGCCACTTCTGGCCTATTGTACCAGCCACAGATGATAGGTGAGGGTGATTGTGGAGCAATTGGTGGAATGAAGATTGGCAGGTGAAACCGAAATACTCAGAGAAAACCTGCCCCAGCGCCACTTTGTCCACCACAAGTCCCACTTGACCAGACCCGGGATCGAACCTGGGCCGCCTCGGTGGGAAGCCAGCGACTAACCGCTTGAGCTATGGCGCGGCCCTTTAATTACCTTAATGTGAATTAAATTAGGTGTTTTGGAACTAATTGAATTAGTGCGTTAATAACCAAGTTAATTCAAGTGTTAGCAGGCGAAACTCAGGTCACGTTTGTCATTTAGATGTAGGACGGAGGGATTCATCAGAAAATTTGAAATAGGAGACTAGGGCACAGGGTCAGTGTTCCTGTCCAAATTCTAAACCTTGAGGGCAGCAGAGCCGTAACTTGTGGGGAGGGGGAGCGTTTCTAGATACAATTCCCTGACCTGGCAGCCTGCAATTAAAATTTCCTAAGCTGAGTATCTCTCGCTTTTATTTGTAATCGGGAAACATAAATTTTCTCGAAGAATTCCGTCTTGTGGGATGTGGCTCCGTGTGGCTGCAGCCACCTGCTCACGCTGGTTCCTCGCTCGCGGGTTTTTCTACCCTGAAGATGGAGGCGATACATTCCTCCGAAACGTCGGTTCGCACATAATCTACACGGCGCCATATCCCAGAAGACGGCATTCTTCATAGTCACAGCCGTGAACACCTTAAATCTTACAAGAATTTTCTCCCACTCCCAGCCAATCACAGTCTGGAGGTGGGTGTCCTTAGTTCAAGACTGCAAAACTGAGGACAAGTGCGTTTCTGCTTTACTTAAACCCAGCAAATTTCGGATGTGCTTCATACCCCAATTCTAGTAAGCATTTCGGCCTTCAGGACAACAAATGCAGTAATTATTCGCAGAAGTCGCTATTTGGCAATTTAAGTAATTAAATATAAACAGATTTCTGAAATGTTAAATGATTTGTATTCACGTCTTCTTAACGTCGCAGAGAAATGGTGAACTACAGTATGTGCGTCCGGCTGAAGCGATCCTCTGGCTTGTGGTTCAGTGAGTGGGTGAAGCGTGAATGTTCATCTCTTTGCCATTCTGACCTGAAGCCTGCTGCACCTGAGCTACCCCTTCAGACACACCAATCCAAGTCAGTCTGATTCCCAACACGCCATCTTATTTACCCTTAGTAAAGCTATCCCTGTACCAGGCCGTGAAGGCCCATAGGGTTGTGAGACGTTGAGGGTCCCACATTATCTAGACAATCGGCTCAAAGATGGCGGTAAGGTTGTCAGCCTTACGCGCCGGCCGCCCTTTACCCCCCCAGAATATTCGTGGTACTCATTTCTGTTAGAGGCTGAGCTGACCCCAGGGCCATAGTGCGGCTGGAAGGATTAGGTCAATTGAAAAAATCCAATTACCTCATCGGGACTTGAACCCACGACCTTCCGGCTCGTAGCATAGCTCCTCAACTAACTCCGCTACCGCGTCTTACCTTAGCAGTTAACAATAGCTAAACCGAAAAATTCTACAAGTCCAACCCATCATCACCCCCACACCACCTCAATGAAATCAAGCCACATTCAAGCACCAATTCTGCAGGTGCACTACAAGACAGGTTTCCGTGTGTTCGCACCCCGATGGCGCACATGCAGGACGTCCCCTTCTGCGTTCTTTAGTGGGCCATTTAGAAACACTTTCAGTACTAAGATGAGTGTCTGGTGATGCAATGAATTTGCAAGGAAGCGGTCTGGCCTAACCGAGGTACTACATTTGTCTTCAGTAACTGAGGGAAGCCACGAGAATTTCAATCGGGAAACCTGACGCCCCGACCCAGATTCGAAACGAGCACCTCCCGAATACAAATCTACAGTCGTCTCCAGATCACGTATTCCCTTCCTGTAGTATTTCAGTACCCGTGAAATTGTGTCATAAAATATGTAATAAAAATAAATGATAAAATGTCAAATAGCAGAAAATACTTGTTTTTTTTACCTTGCCCTCCTGTCTGCCGAGGCCGTCTTCATAGCGCATGCGCAAAAATAAACAATCTTAGCAACGAAATAAAATCGAAAGTTTCCCGCGTCCGTAACAAGCGATACAGTGGCATGGAGGGAGCGGAGGTAAACCTTCAGGCATTCATCTCCTAGGTACCAGAGGGAAGCAGGAGTCAGCAGGAGTCCGGCCTATACCACCACAACAATTATGGAGCTGGGTGAAACAGGAAACTCCCCGCCCATATAAGGAATTTGCAATCCGGCCGCCAGTCCGTTAGCCACTCACGGCCAATAAGTACACTCATACATCGTGGAACGCGAATTATATAAACTGTGTGAACAGTCGTCCTTAAAGCCGCAACCCCTGTGTTCAGTTGAGTCGCATATGGAGGTTTCTTGGATTAATGACTCATTTTAAATGCACATGTTACAAGTATGGCGCGGGGTGTGGAAGTGGTCGCGACCTGCTTTAAAATAATGCATTATCATAAAGATCGTTTACTTCTGGGGCTGTATGAGGCCGGAGTGCAACGAAACACTGGCTCCTGCTTTCTGCGCATGCGCACACAAGTGCCATGAGGACCTATGAGGAAGGTGGTGCCGCCCCACGCAATGTTAACCTCAGCACTAAATGGAAGTGAGTGATTAGCTTCACCCTGTGGCCGCTTTATCTTCTGGGAAACAGCACCCATGGACATTGCAGAGGGAGCTGGGAGGGTCCCACCGCCAGTATGAACTTTATGGGTAAGAGGAAAGTCTGCACCCTCCTGAAATCCAGCCCCCGATACCCTGGAAGTCCAGGCCGTAATCCAGTAACTACACTCACTGAGCTATGTCGGCTGCATATAACATCAACATATTCAAATGACTGCTTTGGTGGGGATAAACAATTCAATACTGAAATTAAGCTGCCTCGCGCACCCATGGGACAGGAGGTTAGACACCTGACCAGGGTATTTATATCGTGAATGCACTTGTTATGTGCAATGAATCGAACTCCTAGCATCCAGCCCAAAGCCACCATGTTTGAACTTAGTCTGTCGATTTTGTACAGTACATTGTTAAATGCAAATGATGTATTAGACCTGACACGTCACAAACAACTGCTTCTACGGTAATGTCCAGAACAAACACGCACGTGTCACTGTTGCTCGCTTTGCGTTCTGACAAGTGTGAATCGGTCGGCCCGCTATGCACATAAACACACATCCGTACACTTCTGTCACAACCTGGCGGGCGCTTGGGAAAGTATCACCTATTGCCATGGCAACTAAGGTAAGTGGGAAGAATTTTGTAGTAAAGTAAAGTAAAGCTATCCCTGTTACAGGCCGTGAAGGCCCATAGGGTTGTGAGCTTTAGAGGTTCCCACATTTTGTAGTCCAAATTATAATTTAATTATTGCACAAGTTACTGAAATATTTCTGCCGATAATTTCTAATTACATAAAGCAATTGCAAATAACCTGTAAAATTTGCATCATCGATGTATTTTAAAAACTACATGAAGTCCAAGTCCAAGTCACATTGTGACTAACGGTCAGTCAGTCAGTCAGTCAGTAAGTCTTGGTGTCGAGCCCCATCTGGGGCTCATGACCAGATATTTATTAGTGTTTGGCATTTACGGTCTTGTTTTTGTGGGGCGCCCTCTCTGACGAGAGGACGGGTCTGCCTTTTGCATATGCTGTTGGCCCTTGCCAGTGCAGTCTTTCTCAGGTCTGAGTCCCTTGGGACTCGAGACCATATTTTACTCTCTCTGATTTGAGACTTCCTTTTTCGTCGCCTCCTACGACTCGCAGGGTCGCGGTGGAGGTATTCGACCCCACCTCCCCACGGAGGCATGACATGAAGTCTATACTAAACAGCAACTTTTATAGTGTTTGTAGAGGTGCATGTGCTCTGTCATCATACAAAATTTAATCGGTTCATTCATTATTCCTGTCGAAATGGAAAATTGAAGTATTTCGTGCTACAAACGTATATATCGATGTTTTAATCACTTACTTTCTCCTGGGCTCTGCGGTCCTGCAAGAAATGCGGCCCCCTTTTCTGCAGAAGCCGATTCTTGTTGTTTTACGCTCTACGAAAAAGTTTTCTTCCGATAATTTTTGTATTTTTGATTTGTCTATCATCAGACAACAGTCCCGAGTGGCATCAGTGCTGCTCCAACCTTACAAGTTTGTGCACCTTCCATATTGATATTAATTCTTGGCGGGGAATTAAGAAGTACAAAGGCGGACGTGACGTCACTTGTACAACAAACAATGTTTTCCTTTCGTTTCAAAACGAGAAAGAAACCCCTAAAAATGTGCACATCAAAAAAGGTTCAGGCCGACAATGAAAATATTTCTGCAGTATATTGACAAAGGGTGGGATCAAAGAAATTAGATGACACGGAACCTGCAACTAGATTAGGGAAAGTTTCAATTAGACAATTGTATCAAACGGGCCATCATGATGGGCCGGATATAAAACTCTAATGGAAGAAAAGCTAATCTAAGCACGAAGGATTAGAATATTAGAGGATAATATTAAAACGTCTTTTAGCGAAATATATTTTTGTCACTGAGCGGATCCAATGTCCTCATGATGGGAACTTGGTTTGGCAGCAAGGAAATTAGAGTTACAGTGATAAGCTTGTAGTCAGCCAGCCAGCCAGCCAGCCGTCTCTCAGCTGTTCTGTTAGTCCGACTTTTTATCAACTGAGTCAATTGTTCTCTGCTTGAGGTAGTTTGGGGTACTAATAACATGGGGCAAGATTTGAAATCTTTTATCCTACAGGATACAGAAACGTAACAGACATCCACGAAATGGAGGCTATGATGGATGTAGGTAATAAATATGTTAGAGTTAATAATTTTCCATAGAGGGACTGAAACCAATGGTTCAGTAATCCGTGTTTGTCACCGCTGTTTCAGGTACTCCTTGTGCTGCTCGCAAGTCACTGCGTTCCGGCGACGGACGTGACGTCACTAATTGCCAGTAATTACGCCAAAGTGTTTCGCACAGGAAGTTTTGCGAGTACTGAGTGAGTTATCAACGATGCAATTGCTTGTGGTGCATGAACATACTTACGCTTCGTCTCCGAAACGTCTAACAGTCTGAAGCTAGTATGCTGTGTTAGATCTTTACAAAAATTCGCCGGAGAACAACGACAGCTGTGCCTCACACTTTACAAGACGCCCACGCTGAATCTCATATCAGAAGGTGTGCAATAAGTTACAATGTAGAGCCCTGAAACCTTGTGTGGAGATTGGCCTTGAGAACAATGAAACAGAGTGAGGCACACACCACCAATCGCTGCTGCACGAAAACCTTCCTGAAATATCGAAAAGTGATTACCGCAATAGCCTGAATTTGAGTTCCTTTTTTAATATTTCTTCTTAGAAAAAAGGATCGCCTTATTTCCGGGTCCTTAAAATTAAATACAAGTAAAATGACGAGGGCCGGTCACGGTAGCCGAGCGGTCTAAGGCATGTACTGTCTTAGCTCGCTTTGAAACCGGGATCGTGGGTTCGAATCGCACTCAGGCATGGATGTTTAGTTTGTGTGTGTGCGTTTTTCTGTGTTTGTGTACAGGTAGAGGCCTTGCGACGAGCTGATCACCCGCCCAAGGAGTCCTACCGAATGTGTAAGATCTAGAAAAACCGAAGTGAACGGAGAAGTTCATGGAGGTAGGCCTAGGCCCACTGGGGCTGTAGTGCCAAGGGGGAAAAAATGACGAGGAGTTATAACTATTAATTACACTGCTACACTTCCGAAAATACATAGAATTGTATTCAAGGTATTAAACTTTGAATTTATTGTCTCTGACGTGTATAGCTTTTACCCCCTTTTGCTCACAAACCTCAGAGATAAATGACATATTCAACTTTGTCAATTGTTTTATTTTTCTCATTGCAAAAAAAAAAAGCCTTTTATCTCGGCTTATATGGTAAATCCATATTTAAGTAAGATAGGGACATTAAAGCCGGGCATTTTGTTACAAAATGAAAGGTAAAGCTATCCTGTAACAGGCCGTGGAAGCCCATAGGGTTGTGGCTCACAGATGACGGTAAGGTTGTCAGCCTTACGCTCCGGCCGCCCTTTATCTCCCCCCCCCCACCCAGGAAGATTCCTGATACTCATTTCTGTTAGAGGCTGAGTCGACCCCAGGGCCATAGTGCGGCTGGAAGGATTAGGTAAATTGAAAAAATTCAATGACCTGATCGCGAATCGAACCAGCGACCTTCCGGTTTGTAGCATAGTGCCTCAACCAAATACGCTACGGCGAGCCCCCCATTTTATTGCATAATAAATTTGAAAATTTACTATTTCTTGTATCTAAGAAATTACCATCATTGTGGCGGTACGAGGTACAGGAAAAGCTGTCCCTGTGCTTAACTAATTAAACACTACGCTATGAAGGCGTGTGCGGGAGTGGATGTATAGATGCACATTTCTTGACGTCGGCATTATTTGGAGATGAGTGGTTAGCTTCACGCCCCTGCCGCTCTACCCCAGGGGAAAGAGCCCCCGGTACCCATTCGATATAGGAGGTTGGGTGGGCCCCAGAGTCGGTCTGGACGACGTGGAGACGAGAAAATTCTTGATCCTACCGGGACTCGAACTCTGACTCCTTGGTCGTCCAGCCCGTAGCCAGTCGCTATACCGACTGCGCTATCCCGGCTCTAGATTGGGGTGTACTATCCAAACACTGCATAAGGCTCTGAAAACTGGATCTTTAGACAGATGAATGTTAATTCTGTACACAAAGAGCCAACTAGTTTATAATTTCTGCCATCTTACGAAATAATTTAAAGGCTGGTTTAACATTGCGAGAAGGTACAGCAAGTGCTGACTCTGTTGTCTGTTGCAGAACCGACATAAGCAACAGAGACGAACTGTACGATGAACGCCATCTATCGGAAGCTGAAGTAACTACAGACGCCAGTGACATCTACCGTGTGTATTATCCTGTGATGGAGGCCCAGGTTGTGACGGACAGCAATGGTAAAGCTCGCAGAAATAGTGAACTTGAAATTTCTGTACTACTCAGTTTTGCTATGGTTTGCTTCACGATGCTGTCAGAACCTGAAACCATACAGCATCGCGTGGCAGGATCATTCGGGGTCTGAACCTGGTACTATCATCGAATTTGCCTGGAGTGACTGAGGAAAAAAACGAAAACCATCAGTCATGATAGCTGACATCCTTGTTGAGTTTCGCGTCGAGAACCTGACGGACACTTGTCTACAGAGACCTGCTCGCTAATTCTTGCTCTGCTATGGCATTCAGGTCAGTGGGTCCTGGTTACCCTGACTCGTATGTCTCATAGTTTTCCTCAGTTTCTCAAGACGGATGCTAGAATAGTATCTTCTTCTGTATAACTTTAAATTCATTATTCACAATCATTCTCTAAACTCGATGAAACGTTGTTAAACAAACCAAGAAACCACTGACATTTTGCGAATACACAGAACCCATATCCAAACTTTTTTCAAGTTTGAAATAAGAACTTTCAGCAGAAAACATAATTGTCAGAATAAAATATGACAAATATATAAGCTCTCATTCTTTGTAACACCCGAAGTATTCAAAATTTTAACTGTTCCTGACTAATCTGGCCGTTTACAAATTATTTTAACTTTTCACCAGGTATGAAGGTTGTAGACCAATATTACACAATTCAGCTTTTGGCTGTCTGATGTTGCAAGAACAAATTTTCACTTAAATCTCCTCTTTCCAGATACGGAGCCTCTGCCTCACGCTCCTCGCGTAGAGAGTTCAAGAACCGCTAATTCTGAGTCTCCAGTGAGCGTCCTGCAACTGAACCCTCTGGCATCTTTCATAAATGCATTCTTCAGACAACCGGTGTATGTAGGCGACAACAATGAGGAGATGTCAGGGTCGTCTCTGACTCAAGATTCAGCCTATGATGAGGTGTCGAAACTCTCTGACACCACAAAAATTCCCCCTACAATAAAGCAACCTAGGTACTCGCATGAGTCTAGTTCTCAGACTGCTGAGTCTCCTCACCTTTTTGGCAATGGCCGGACTGCGAAGTACACAGACGAAGGCTACACGGAATTGGTGGACGAAGAGCAAAATATTCAGTATGTAAATTCGCACAAATATCCTCCTCCAGTTGGCAGAACTTCTCCTCTTCTGAAAGATGCATACCAACCTACAGTATCAGACGAATCCTACAAACTGAATGTTTCATTGCAACCTACAAAATTGGAAACTTCCTTCGAACCAAATCGATTATACCAATCTGAGATTCCAAATTCCTATAAATTGCCAGAATCTTATCCTCCTGCGACACTAGACAATCCTCGCGCACTAACAGAACCATACCAACCTACACCATCAGAAAATCCCTACAAACTAAGCACAGAACAGGATCAGACCTCTGCAGCACAAGACGAAGAAGATTCCTACAGCTACGGTTCTGAGAGGAGAGTAGCAGCAAACGGCCACAGCGCGGTGTCGCCTCCACAGAAGCACGAAATGGCGACGGGCCGCGAGAAGAACCCGTACACATACTTCTACGTGGGACGCAAGCTGTGGTACATACCTCTCTTCTTCAGCGTGTACTTTATGCTCTACGTGCTCGCCCTGGTCGCGAGATCCATCTCCAGGCACAAGATTGTCTTCCCTGTAACTAAGACTAAATACGAGAAACGGGAATTGAACTCTGGACTTGAGGATATCACGTATCAAGTTACTACTGCAATGGAAACAACAGAACGTCTTTATTTGTAAACCCCTTTAAATGTTTAATAACTTGTAATAAAATGTTGTTCCATAATTCATGCGCTCTTTGGCAGCAGAGCTCGTGGCGATGCTGCGGACAAGGCGAGTCTGCCTGCATATTCTGACACACAACTTACTCAACGATTTCTAATTACAATTTTGTATCGGGAGTCTATGGCACAAGTTGCCAGATAAATTTCATTATGGCATCTGTAGGATCAATGTGACACAAATTTACATGGAGCTCAAGTAGGATTTCCACATCGCGTTCTCATTTCAGAAAAGTATTAATGAATGACACGCCAATTTAGATCTTAACTTCCATATGAAAAGAAGTACAGGGAAAAAATTGTGTGCAATGCCATGTCTGTACTCAGACACGTGTAGGCCTGCAGGCCATATCACAGTAAAGTTAGGATGAAAGAGTAATGCAAAATTACAAAAATGTGTAAGTACAGGGAATTCGGTTTATTTTAGACGGACCTGCTGTCAAATTCTGGCCCCAGAAACTTTGAGTTTTCACCCAGTGCTTTCTGGCTTATCTCATTAGCGCTGCCGTTTAGTATTAAGTTTTCCTTGTTCTGTTTACCAACACACTTCGCAGTTTTGCGGTACAAGACATTCAAAAACGAATTACAATATTATACAGAAATTATTCGCATATGCTGGTAGTGCAGCCCCGTGAAAGAGAACGATGTAAAATGTCGTAATAAAATTACGTTTTGCGTGATCGGTGCCGGCCAAGAAGATATCTCGAAACAGACTCGATGTCACTGCTGCATGACTAGAAGCAAATTCGAAGAAGACGTTGAGTCTTTTGGTTCTTCAGTGCGAGAAAGCAAAAACTGCACTTCACGTTGGTACGAAGCTCTCCGAAACTACGAACGTACAAATCTACTTGTTTCCAGATTGCAGACCAAAAATTCGAACTTCGGGAGGTTTCAAGAACCCGTATTCAATGGATTTCTTGACCCAAAAATTCCACTAATTTTCAGGAGGTCTTATTAGCTTTAAGTTGTTACCTAGACAGTTATAATGAGAGATACTGGAGCACAGAAAATCCTCATTCCTTTCTTGAAGTGCCACTTGCGTGACGTGAATTTCGGGTCTGGTCTGTGTTTAGTGTGGCTCATGTGTTTTCACCAAACAGCGAATTCCGGAATTTCTCTCACTATTCTCCGAACAACTGACTGATAAAGAAAAATCTTTCCGACATTTTACGTTAGACAGTGCAACGTGCACACCGAAAACAATTCATGGATGCAAGATTTCGGCGAGACGAGCGATAGGTCGTGTGACATCCGCTTTAAATCCCTATGACTTATTTCTGGGACACACTGAAAGAAAAAATTATGAGAACAATTCGGACGCTTTCAATGAACTTTAAGAAAATATTAAGCACGAAACTTCCTCGTATTCAGTAGAGCAGCTTCGACATGTCTCTAGATAAATATGAAACAATCTTCAATGAAATAAAGTAAGTTCAGCTAGAGCGGGAAACCGGGCCGCGAACTAACGGCGACCCTGTAGGGTGCGTGCCAGTAGAGCGACGAGATGGTTGTTGGAAACATTTTCCGCTGTAATAGGCTTACTGCAGATATTAGGCCATGTTAGGTGGGTCCCTGTCACCACGGCATGGCGCGTCCTCAGGTTGCGGAGGGAGGAGACGCCCTCCAAGCATGAAGGGTATCTGCGAATATATTGAATAAGCAGTCCAGGACAGCCGACAAGGGGAGGTCCTCCGGTTCGGGTGTTGAGCGTGGGGCTAACAACTCCTCATCGTAAAAAGTACTTGTTACGATACATCACAAGAAGCATCGCACCGGCAGGAGACTATACATTTTTCTATGGAAAGGGGAATGAAAATCATGATTCAGGTACAGGTTTTTTCGTACATAAGATAATCGTATCAGCAGTTAGAAGGGCAGAGTTCGTTAGTGACAGGATATCATATATAATGCTAAAAGGTGTCTGGTGTGATATCGTTATGAATGTTCACTCCCCAACAGAAGATAAAATTGATCACATGAAGGGCAGATTCTATGATGACTAGAAGATGTATTTGGTGAATTCCCGAAGTACCCTATGAAAATGTTGTTAGGAGATTTCAATGCCAAATTAGGGAGGGAAGACATTTTCAAACCAAAGATTGGGAATGAGAGTTTGCATGAAATTAGTAATGATAATGCAGTTAGAGTTGTAAACTTTGTCACGTCAGAAAATCTTATTGTCAAAAGTACAAAGTTCCACATTGTAACATCCATAAATTTACTTGAACAACTCCTGATGGGAAGATACACAATCAAGTAGACCATATTTTGATAGACAGGAGACGGCACTCAAATACGCTTGATGTCCGATCATTCAGGGCAGCAGACTGTGATACTGACCACTGCCTGGTGGTGGCAAAGGTTAGGGAAAGACTGGCAGTGAGTAAACAATGCACACAGAGTTCATATGGAGAGGTTCAATCTCAAGAAATTAAATGAGGTAGAGGGTAAAGAGCAGTATCCTTTTGAAATCTCAAATAGGTTTACAAGATCTGGTAATCTTGGAAACTGAGGTGGATATTGATAGAGCTTGGGTAAATAATAGAGAGAATATCAACATTTCTGCTAGAGAGTCTAAGTGATTATGAATTGAAGAAGCATAAGCCACGTTCGATGAAGGGTGCTCAAAATTATTAGATCAAAGAAAGCAGGCCAAATTACAATGGTTACAGGATCTAAGTGAGTTAAATGGGGATAATCTGAACAATATAAGACGTGAAACCAGCAGGCATTTCAGGAACAAAAGAGGGAATATCTGAAAGACAAACTTGATGAGCTTGCAATGAACAGTAAGAACAAGAATATTAGAGACCTGTATAGAGGAATAAATGACTTTAAGAGGGGTTACCAGCCTAGCACTAACTTAGTGAAGGATGAGAATGGTGATCTGCTTGCAGATTCCCACAGCATTTTGAATAGGTGGAGGAACTACTTCTCTCAGTTATTGAATGTACATAGGGTCAGTGCTGTTAGGCAGACAGAAATCCATACAGCTGAGCTGTTAGTACCTGATCCTAGCCCTTTTGAGATTGAAAGTGCTATTGCAAAATTGAAACGGTATAAATCCCCAGGCAGTGATCAAATTCCGGCAGAACTTATTCAAGCAGGAGGTGAAATATTACGTTTTAAGATCCGTAAGCTAATTACTTCTATTTGGCATAAGGAGAAATTGCCTGATTAGTGGAAGGAGTCTATTATTGTACTAGTTCACAAGAAGGGTGATAAAACTGACTGTAGTAATTATCGGGGGATATCACTGCTATCAACTTCATACAAAATGTTATCCAGTATTCTTCTCTCAAGTTTAAGTCCATATATATATGAAACTATTGGGGATCATCAGTGTGGGTTTTGACGTAACAGATCAACTGCAGATCAGATCTTTTTGCATTCGTCAGATATTGGAGAAAAAAATAGGAGTACAATGAGACAGTACATCAGCTATTCATAGACTTCAAGAAAGCCTAAAATTCAGTTAGGAGGAAAACATTTTGCGATATTCTGATAGAGTTTGGACTACCCATGGAACTGGTTTAAAAAAAGTAATGCTATCCCTGTAACAGGCCGTGGAGGCCCATAGGGTTGTGAGATGTTGAGGTTCCCTCATTTTCTAGACAATCGGCTCACAGAAGGCGGTAAGGTTGTCAGCCCTACGCGCCGGCCGCCCTTTAACCCCAAGAATATTCCTGGTATTCTTTTCTGTCAGAGGCTGAGTCGACCCCAGGGTCATAGTGCGGTCGGAAAGGATCAGGCCAATTGAAACAAAATCCAGTGACCTTATCGGCACTTGAACCCGCGACCTTCCGTCTTGTAACACAGTGCCTCAACCAACTACGTTAACGCGTTGATTAAAATGTGTTTAAACGAAACGTATATTAAAGTCCGTACAGGCAAACACTTGTATCATAATTTTCCTATCAAGAATGGTCTAAAAGAAGGAGATGCTTTATCGCCACTCCCTTTCAACTTTGCTTTAGAATATGCCATTAGGAAGGTCCAGGAAAACCAGGTGGGACTGAAATTAAATGGGACACATCAGCTGTTGGTCTATGCTGATGATGTGAATCTACTGGGTGATAATGTAGATACCATAAAGAAAAACACACAAACTTTAATTGCCGCAAGTAAAGGGGATGGTCTAGAAGTAAACACTGAGAAAACTAAGTATATGTTGCTATCTCGTCACCAAAATGCAGGGCAAAATCATGACATAAAGATAGGAAACAGATGTTTTGAAAATGTGGCAGAATTCAGATATCTGGGAAAACTATAATAAATCAAAACCTGATTCTGAAAGAAATTACGAGTCGATGGAATTCGAGTAGTGCTTGGTACCACACAGATCACAAACTTTGTATTTTCGTTTGCTGTTTTGTAAACATAAAAATTATAATGTACAAAATTATAATTTTACCTGTGATTCTGTACGGTCTTGAAACTTGGTCTCTGACATTGAGGGAGGAATATAGATTGAACTGCGCTAACTCACATACAGGTAACAAAATTCGAAAGCTTATCACCGCTGGTGAACTTTCATCTTTCTACTCATGCAGCCCATTGTACTCATTGCCTCAGTATGGCCACTCTAACAATATTAGATGACATGTCACGGAGTTCGCTTCAGTGTAACCTAACATTTTTGTGCGGAAAATTCTGCCCTGTGATTCACTAAAATATATCTTGTTCCTTTTTTGTTGATGAGAAGTAAACGCTTCGGTATTCCTTCTCTGTCTTTTGTCCGTGCTTTCATGCCTCCCTTCCTCCCTCCCACACCATCGATCTGCATTCATTTCCTCCCCTACGTCCTTTCGGCTTTTCTCCCATGTTCCTTTTCTATCCCATTCAAATTATCGTTCTATTTCCATTCCTCTTGCTTTCTAGCAATATTCTGGGGTTTCCTTAGAAACGACAAGCGACACTTAGGGGTTTCGCCGTATCCTAGCAACGGCAGAAAATATTTTCAGTTTTTCCGTATTTTAGCGGCAGCATAAGACATTCTAGGCTTCCAGTATCCTCCATATTCTAGGAACGAACGCAGGGTCGCTACCCAATTGTTGGCAGGATTCCTATGCCTGTTTACGGAAAGGTAATGGAGAAATGTATTGGCTTGGACTCGAATTTATGCATGTAACATTAATTCCCCGGTTGTCTTTCCTAGAGGAACGCATGTCTGTATAAATTCCTTCTGCGACAGCAAGTTTGGGAGACACAGGGTGGGACAGACGGACTTGGGCCAATATGCACAGAGGCTACCGGTCCTCAGGTAAGTCCATTTCCAAACATGGTATCACACCCATACAAAACCAGTTACTGCACCTGGCTGTCTGCATGTAATTGTGTTAACAGTTAGCGGAAGGGGGTGTGAAACAGGAGTCCCGCTATGTGCGCCGTAGCCCAGATGTGTCACCTGGGCCAGTAGAGAGGTGGCCTGACGACAAACAACGTTAACTCCCTCGCTCGGCAGCCATGTGTCCGAAGGTAAGAGCACATGATATATTATATTCAAGTAGGAGAAAGTGGTTTATTTTGCTTGAAAGTGACAATATTTGAAACGAAAGTGCTTTAGTCAGTGCCGCAGTGGTGAACGGTAGAGGCCAGAATCCCATGGCATGGCCAGGGTTCGCTCTCAGGAGTGTCTATGAGGGATTTACAGTGTACACGGCTTCACTGGGGTCGGTTGTCTCTCAGTACTTCAATTTCTGGGGGCACGCGGTAGCGTAGTTGGTTGAGGCACCATTCTACAAGCCGGAGGGTCGCGGAATCGTATCCCGATGATGTGGATTTCTTCAATTGGCCTAATCCTTCCAGCCGCACTATGGCCCTGGGGTCGACTCAGCCTCTAACAGAAATGAGTACCATGAATATTTCTGGTAGTAAAGGGCGGCCGGCGCGTAAGGCTGACAACCTCACCGCCATCTGTGAGCCGATTATCTAGAAAATGTGGGAGCCTCAATATTACCCAACCCTATGTGCCTCCACGGCCTGTTATAGGGATAATTTTATTTACTCGTATTTCAATTTCTATCTATTAACCACATCTCAATCAGTGCTCCAAGCGGTGGCGTAGTTAGTCGAGGCACTATGCTACAAGCTGCAAGCCCGTGGGTTCGAGTCCCGATGAAGTCATCGGGTTGTTCTATTGACCTAACCCTTCCAGCCGCACTATGGCCCTGGGGTCGACTCAGCCTCTAACAGGAATGATTACCAGTAATTTTCCTGGGGGCAGAGGGCGACCGGCGAGTAAGGCTGACAACCTCACCGCCATCTGCGAGCCGATTATCTAGAAAATGTGGGAGCCTCGACGTCTCACAAACTTATGGGCCTCCACCGTCGGTTTCTTTTTCTGTCGCCATCGCTGCGCTTCCTTGAGATGTGGGATGTACAGTCTCCGCCAAGATGTCTCAATGTGTGCCCGACTCGACTCGGGCACGAAATTTGAGTTTAGTTACATTTAGTTAAGTTTCCATTTATCCCAGATGATCATATTAATCTTTCTCACTTGTAATTCGTAGTTTCTTTCCATACACCTGCCCCCATAGGTAGAGAAGTTCTTTTTGACATTTTCAACATCTGCGTAAACAACAAAAGCGGCTTGCAACAAAGATTGTATCTCAGCACTGTCTATCGTAATCATCAGTAAAATTGGCAAGAACGTTTCTTCTGTTCCTGCCCTGAGATGTACACATAACTTTCGCATCCCAAGAGATAAGCAAATATTGGCAGAAGACCTTGTTTCAAAGCCAGAACATAGAGGACGTGAGAACGAAAATAAGTTTCGCTGAATAGTCACACCTAGAAACATGTGACAGAAGCCCTTGCTGCTCTCAAATTGCTAAAGGAAGAAGACGTGTATAAATGTTTTCTACATTTTGCCATTTCTATTAAAAAGCAACTATTTGTGTATGGTCATCAGGCATATAATTATTAAATACAGTGCAAATAACAATCACTAGTTACGTGAATGGAACCATAAGATCCAATCCTTCGGAATCCTGAAGAACACTACACATCATAAAACGTAATGAGACTGGCCGCAAACGTACTATTGTAGCCAATGAATTCAGTTAAGCCCTTCCCAGAGAACGAATCAGGGTTCGCCAGTCAGTGACGTATCATTACGTCATTAAAAATTACTGGATGCTGTTTTCAACATGCTTCCGCTTTTCATACGCCTGTGGGAAATTCAAACATACAGGGTTAGAATATTTCTCACTAGATGGCAGTGGCTACGTGAGGACAACGGAAAACAGAAATATCTTTTTCGTAACTCTTGTGAATGTCCACAGGTTCTGGCTGTGTTACTGGTCAGCCATTTCTTCCTGATACACCCCACCAGTTTGCTACCGTACTCCGGCGGTTCCTTGGGCACTAAGAGCACTTGCAGTAACTCCAGGTACATTGGCCCTTGCAACTTGTGAGCTCACAGCGGTGCTGACTTGAGGCAAACCCGGGCTCCAGGCTTGTCTCTGTTTCTGTTTACGCGAACGTGAAACCGCCACCTTGAGAAGACGTTGCATTAAGGTTCAGTTGGAGGACGCTAATTTTCGCGAAAACGCCTTCGGTTGTGTTACAATTTTAGTTATCTATGGACAGAATGTTAAACAGTATTACATCGAAACACCGCACATGTAAGAGAGATAAACGCATAGCAAATGTAACGAAAACTATGAATGGAGCAGGCCACCAGCAGATCTTTGCGTAGATGGGAGTATACCTACAGAATATTACATCGGCCGGTCACAGTGGCTCCGCGGTCTGGGGCATGAAATGTCTTCGCCCAATGGAACACTGGAATCGTGGGTTCGAATCCCACTTAAGGCATGGGTGTCTGTGTTTATTCTGTGTATTAGGTAGCGAACTTGCGACTGGCTGATCCCCGTCCAAGGAATCCTACCGAATGTCTTAGGTGAAGAAACTAAAGCGAAACAAAGCGTGTCACGGATACCCTATGTTCCAAATTGGAGCAACAGGAATAGAAGAAGAAGATTTTTGTTACTTACTGATTTTAATAGGACGTGAGGACGAGAGCTGGATTAGTCAAGATCGAGTGAAGTTCCAGTGGCGGCAATCTTATGAACATGACAGTGAACATTAAATTCCCATAAAAGAAGAGGATTTCTATTGGTTCTTCTCCCCCACGGAATTAGTCACTTACACGGCACTGCGCACTGCGCACTGCATAGGCTTATCACAACACACCTGGCTGCGCAGCCAACAGAGGCAAATGTTGTGGTGGCCGCAAATTTTAATGGGCACAAAGTAGAATTTCTCGCGGTCTATATCGAGGCTACACCCCTGCGTCCGCACTGACGACAGAAGCAGTAGAAATGTGAGTACATTCTGATACACGTTTCTTGCAAATGCACCCAAAAACACAGAACAGTCTGATTTGTGCTTGACAATCGAAACCGGGACCTTCTAATACGAATTTTTTTAATTCGCTTAGTGGGGGGTGGAATCCAACTGGGCCCACTCGGCACGGCGGCCACTAATTGGCCTATTGTAGCCTGCCCCGGGTGATTATGATGATGGAGAATTTGGTGGAATGAAGATTGGTAGGGGAACCGAAGTACTCGGAGAAAGCCCGCCACTTTGTCCAATACAAATCCCACTTGACCAGACCGGGATCGAACCCGGGCCGCCGCGGTGGGAAGCCAGCGACTAACCGCTTGAGCCATTTTGAATACGAAGCTCCAACTTGTATCATTTGTTAACAATATTTGACAACCAACGAACAAATATACGAACTTCTGAGAAAAATGCAGTGTCATGCAAACGAGCAATTCTTGTGACATGACAGGAATAAGCTTTTTATTAAGTACGTCTGTCGCAACAATTTCAATTTCCAAACCTGTTCGTCGAGATGTTCTATTCCGTCTTTATTCTCGCCTGTCAATGCACTGCACATGCGCTGACTGACAGTGCGTACATGTACGAGACTGCAATTGATTCTAAATTATGTTCTGATGGGGATGTTTCAAAATATGCGAGAACTTCAGTCATTAGACACAAAAATATTTAGTTATATTTGGGGCCTACTTGGTTCCATACAACGAGCCTTTCTTTAGAGGGATATTTTATATGAGTTCAGCTGACACATCTGGTTAAACAATGAAAACACTCGACAGCTTCTAGTGCCAAATTTAATCGAAATCCGTCAGGTATTTGAAGATACGCAGAAAGAGACAGATTTGAACTTCGCACTCACGCTTTGTGAACTGTATGACGTTGACTGGATTAGCTTGATAACACTGTGCCATGTTGTGTTGCAGAAATGAGCCATGTGCCAAGATCGGTCACTCCACAACTTCCGCTGTCAGCATTGCCACCGGAAGTGAAGGTAACTGCTGTCTCAGTAGCGCATGTTTTCCAGAATTCCAGGCCGCGGCGGCAGTGGAGGGGGCCATCAGTATTTGTACTACACGCTACACTGGTAGTTCAGTAACTGTACGTATTTCTCTATATAACTGCCTGATGATGGTCTTGAACGGCCGAAACATGTAAGTAAAAGTAAAAGTAAAAAGTAAAGCTATCCCTGTACCAGGCTGTGCGACGTTGAGGATCCCACATTATCTAGACAATCGGCTCAAAGATGGCGGTAAGGTTGTCAGCCTTACGCGCCGGCCGCGCTTTACTCCCCAGGAAAATTATTTAATTAATTGCTGGTACTCATTTCTATTAGAGGTTGAGTCGACCCCAGAGCCATAGTGCGGCTCTAAGGATTAGGTCAACTGAAAAAAATCGGGACTTTAACCCACGACCTTCCGGCTTGTAGCATAGCCCCTCAACCAACTACGTAGCAGGAATAAAGATCGAATTGTAAAACATTCAAACCGAGTATATTTGTTGTGTTGACGGTTCCTGCGGCCCTCCTGGAGAAGCAGGTTACAGCCATCCGCATCCATCTTGCCTTTGGAGCGTCAGGCGTGCCGTCAGTGGGGTTGCATAACGAATTTGCTTACGAGACTGCAACACAGTTCGCAATGGTTCAACGCAGTCTCTCTTGAGCTTGAGGTTTGTCGGTTCATGTACAAATAACAGCAGTGAAACTGCAAAGAATGAACTAATTTCTCGGAACCTAAGGGACACATTACCTTATAAGAAATGCTTTCAGTACAGAACATAAATCATTGTTCTATATGTCACTTGTACAGCAGCAAGCTCAGAAGAACACGTGGGCCGAAGAAGCAGAGGAAACGGCATATTGAGGAGTTTTAACGCGTTTACGCTTCTCCAAATATAAGTAAATTATCAAATAAAGGAGAATGAGATGGGCCGGACATGTAGCACACATGGTGAGAAGATGACTGCATATAGGATTCTGGTGGGAAATACAAAAAGTAGACAACTAGGAAGGTCTAGACGTAGATGGAGGATAGTATTGAAAGGTATCTTAGCGAAAGAGGGTGGGAGAATGAGGACTGGACATCTGGCTCGGGACAGGGATCAGTGGCCGGCTTTTGTGAACACGGTAATGAACCTTCAGGTTCCAAAAATGTTGGGATGTTCTTGAGCAGCTACACAACTGGCAGTTTCTCAACGAGGGCTCAATTGTATGGAGTTAGTTAGCCATCAGTTGGCCAGGCTAGCGTGTTCTTCACATTAAGCCCCCAGTACTGGACTCGCAGAGTCGAGATAGAGAACAGGCTTGTGTAACGCCTTGAAGGGGCTCTTGTCTTTGCGAAACGGACGCGAAGCTCCTCAGGTAAGACTTTGCTGCCGAGATATCGCACTGAAGGAAGTCGCATCCTGGTATTTCGATTCGTGTTTATGGACTACACACGGAGACTTTTCTGTTACCCTGGCAGTTATAGGCTTTAATGGTGCATGTTTTACTCTACGTACACAACTTTTCTAGGATGGACTCTATTTCATGCAATCGACGAAGATCAATTTGGGCTTCATGTAAATTGGGTGGGGGGGGGGTTGGAATAAAGCCAATTCGTGCAACAAGCTTAATGCTGAATGCCTAATAAGTACAAAGTTTCAGAGAAAACAGTTCAGTAGTCCCAGAGATATTTCATGCGAACAAACAGAGGCACAAGCACAGTTTTCTCGTTCATTTTATGTAGATACAGCACAAAGTTCCACGTTCCGCCCTGCTTGCTTGTCGTGTTGCATCTCAGCACATTCCATTTTCAGGAAACCGTGGAGAGGGCAGGAGTGTCATGGGATCCACGCGCAGACTGATGTATCCTGCTGCGAGGAGATCGAACTACAGACATTCAGGTTCACATCGTCCATCTTACAGCCAACAGGCTGGAAGGTATCCTGTGTACAGGGCGCAAGAGAGGTACCAACCCAGTGAGGTCGGCTACAAACCGAAGGAACCAAGCTCACAGCCCGATTTGCGGCCACCAATTTCACCTTCCTCATTCATGCAGGACACGGGAACTGGACCAAGTCAGACCTCGGTCTCAGTCCAACCTGACAAACCAAAAACTACCCCTCTAGCAGATTCGTCCAGGCCTATTCCCAACTTTGGACATTCTGAAGAATACGACACACCCCCTTCTGGGTTACAAACTGATGCCGAACAAGAACCTCCTTCCATAGAACCGAATTTCGACCAGAATATTCCCTCAAAGGGATCGTCAGACGATTTCTACCACCACCCAGCCCCATCGAAATATCCCCATTACCACTCTACCTACGAAAAACCCTTCCATGATAATTCACAAGACTATATATATGTCGATTATGATCCTAATTCACACGAGCATAAGCCAGATACACATGAACACATTCATTATTACAATTCTTACCATCACTTTTCTCCCCCTGACATGACGTACCAACCTCAACAAGCAAATGATACATATCTACCCGTGCCCATGACTTACGGTCCAGAAGAAAACAGGAACAAAAAGCCTTACACATATTACTATATAGGACGGAAGTTGTGGTTCATTCCCTTATATTTCAGCGTCTACTTCATCGTTTACATAGCTTCGCTGCTCGTGAAGTCCATAGCAAGACACAAGATCAAATATCCCGTAAGTTACTGGGCAGGGTATGACAAGAGAGCCTTAGGAAACGGGGTGAACAGACTAGAGCTTCAACTGACAACGGAACAGATCATGAAGACTCTGGCAACAGCTGAGCATCGATATGCGTGACTGCTGTCTCTTCTTATCACACAGCCACAAGTCACATGAGTCAGTCATCTCCAGGCTATACGAATAATTTAGAATCTGCAAGCGAGGATTTCCCTTAAATTCAAACTCCTGCAGTGTTTATTAGTAACTACGTCAACAGCCCTCAACATAGCCCCACTTGACTTGCGGTCTCTCACTACTGAACAGGAGATGCGAGTTCTCACGGATCCTTCAAAGCATGGAGGTTACTGTACGCAGGCTGTGTTTATGTGTTTCTTATGATTCTCACAGTAAACAGCAACTTTTTTCCTAAATATTATTAACTGGTAGATCCTTGTAATGGATGCGCAATGTTTTCTGTGAGGTGGGGACAGAATATTTAAATATTATTCAGAGGACACGTAAGTTCTAAGGGGTTAAGAAAATCAGTTGCAGTCCTAGAAATGTACAAGATCCTGTCAGAAATTTAGCGGCTTCTTCTTGGTGCAAGCCTCGATGTGCTGTAGGCATTGTATAAGTTCCTGCTAACACAAGCAGTAGAATTCCTGTGGCGGAGGAGGACCACTGCAGGCCTGCAGATCAGCTCGGCTGCAGTTTCTTCTTACTTTCACTTCCCGATCCAAATCTCGATCTGGTCCGCGCTAGAGGATTTCTAAACCCTAATTAACAGAATTATAATCATAATTCTGGAACGCTTCTTCCGTGACTGGATGGACACTCATGCGTTCTCCGAGCATGACTCGAACCCATGATCCAAGCATTTGAACGTCCGAGATCATGTGACAACCGGGGTCAGTTATAACAGTTGAAAACTTCAGCCACAATTATATGTTATCGTGGGGCCGTGTTGGTCTCCACAGAGAGTAGCCAGTGCCCTCGAAATCAGGATCTATTTGCCTCAAACATAACCTCCAATCCACAGACAGGAACCAACCATCGGGCAGCAACATCACTGGAGGAACGGATGAATTGAAACATGCGCTCTGGTGTTTTTTGTAAATCACTGAATGTTGACTCTGTTAGTATATAGTACAATAGCAGGGCAATAAAACTCTGTGCATTTTAAACATATTCATATGTTATTTCTTTCTCTTCGCAAATACTGTAAGACGTGTAATGTGCCCCAGAGAAATGCTTCACCTTCACCGCATCTTCACGTCTTGACGAAGCAGCTTGTAAAAGAAATGCAACTACCAAAACTTAGATTAATTCTAAAATCCTACTTAAATCTATTTCCAATAAACTGTGCAGTCGCAGTTAGTAAATTACATAGCTGAAATATTTATGTGAAAAATAATAATATGCAACTTCTAAGAAGAACTCCCAGTTACACTTTTTTTTTTTTTTTTTGCGAAGTGACGTGTTACCCAAGAAGCGGGAGGCAGGTCGGATGTCTCCTTCATCAGTAGCTACAGGAATCAGAGAAACTGCAGTCCGCAAGACACAATAAACAGAGCAGTGCATTCTTTGAAATTTTACTGTATATATGTCATGGTTTTATCTGAACCTCACCAATAGAGAACAGTGATAGCCTCTTAACTAACTCTATGGAGCTGAAGCCTTCCTGGGAAGCTGCTGGTTGCTCAGCTACTCAAGAACTTTCCTACAATTTATAGAGCCCGAAGGTTCACAAGCGCCCTTCACTAGTCCCTATCCTGAGCCAGATCGATCCAATCTATAGCGCCCCACCGTCACATCACTATGAGGTTCGAAACTCGAATTCGAAAAACATCCGATACATTCGTCACGTCTCTATATCACTGTCCGGTAGCGCCCAGACTATGAGAGTCACTGTGATGCAAACCCGGCATGACCGTCTTCGCGCCATGTACTCGCCGGAGGTGTACAGACGCGCTCAGCAACACGTGGCAGAGTCTCCTCAGGATACCTGCTACACGGCTGACAAGATCCAACGCGTGCTCATTGTGACACCCTTAACGGTATCAAGTGCCGTGTTTCTCAACAGGTGGGACTTGATGGGGGGGGGGGGGAATGATGAAAACAGTAATTAATTCACCTGCGCGAACACTTTCCTGCATTCTGAGCACAAGCGCTCTTAATGCTGCGCCATAATCCTACTTCTGTGACTAGCACAGCAACTGAGAGAGTCTGTCTTCTGGGATCTAGCTTTGTGTAGTAGACAGAAGTCAGCCGACATTTCGGAGGAACATAGGCCCCTTTGTAACCACTGCTGTAAGAACTTCAGATTATACACAATTGTTTTTATATATAATATCATTAATAAAGACCAAACATTGCTACAATCCTCAGATTATTAAAAACATGAAGTACTGATTAGTATAACAATAAAATGCATAGAATTGGAAAATTTCACTTCAGTTGTGGGACTGGAGTTCTTTACCCAAATGAACGGTGGGACGCAAGCTGTTAACATTGAGAATCACGGCCCTAGGGCAACACCAATATCAGTGCAATTCTACCAACAGCAATGAACTCAAGACGTAAAGTTGTTCCATTCATTTCACTTAAAAGCCTACTTGAACCTCACACGCAGGCCTACATCCTGAGGTGTTTGAAAAATTTATGTACATGCACTACAGTTCGATTTTTCGAGTGCTACCATAAGCCCAAAAGAAATTTCACCCGCTTTATTTCAAGACCGATTCTACCTGAGGGCCCCAAATTAACGTTCACACAGACCTATTTTATGCAAAAGTAAAAATGGTAACGCCATTCCTGTAACAGGCCGTGAAGGCGCATAGGGTTGTTGAGACTTCGAGGCTCCCATATTTTCTCTAGACAATCGGCTCACAGATGGCTGTGAGGTTGTCAGCCTTAAGCGTCGGCCGCCCTTTGCTCCCAGGAAGATTCCTGTTAGAGGGTTAGTCGACCCCAGGGCCATAGTGCGGCTGGAAGGAAAAGGTCAATTGAAAAATCCTCCTCATCGAGACTCGAACCCGCGTCCTTCTGGCTTGTAGCATAGTGCTTGAACCAACTACGCTACTGAGTGCCTGTACATATGTATATTCTATTCCTCCCTATAGGCCATTACCTGGACGTGCTCTGATCACCTGGAGAGCTAAGCTCCACGGAACATATGCTTCTCGCGAATGCTATGCAGATCTAAAGGTAACCTTTGGTTCTCCAGATTGGGCGTTGGGCGTTTGGCTAACAAATTCACCTCGAAAATCCATTTAGGTTAAGAAATGCTATAACGAAGGTAACGATGGATGCCCGACGAAGTAAGAGTGGTAAATGGAGTCAAATTATTCAGAAGACCGTGAGTAAGTATATATTGTATACACATTTGAACGAGACCCGACACAGAGCACTCACAGTACACGAGTATTGCTGTGCTCAAGTTAGCAGTGACCTCAATTCACTTAAGACTGCAAGAGCATCATGTCTAAAAACAATGTACACAGCTTAATTAAAAATACTTCATTGCTAATAATGCTGAACATCATCTGAGAGCTTCCAGCTCGTGATGGAGCGTCTTGCCTCGATGTTGATGGCTGCTGACTCATCAGGGTGGTGGTTGCTTAAGCTTGAGGTGTCTATGGCAATTTCTTATAATAAGACAACAATGCAGTTTGCTAAACCGATTGACTGCGGCCGACCGCCGGCCTCCGGACGACGTGCAGCTGTCCGCAGTGTTGGTACGATTTCTGCCACGACTAGGACTAGATACGAGAGCCTTTTCTCAGGGGTACAGGTGCACGGTGACTGGGATGGGAAGGCACTTCGGGAGTTACGAATCAGAAGATAACACCGTGTATTTCTAGCGTTTAGTGCAGAGACTACTGGTACGTCCTGCTAATCCTCCTTCAAGAGCCATTTACGCGCAGGCCAGTTTCTGTGTCATTAGAGAGATCTCGTTCAAACTTAGGACACGGCATTTCTGTCATGAAAATCAGTAAATTTCACTTCTTTCATTCGTTATTCATTTTAAAGACCACACTATAAGTCTGAAATAAATTGAGCCCCTTCTTGATAAATATTCACCCGAGAAAAACGCCTCGAATGAAATTTCTTGTATCCATAAAATACATTTCATCTCCTAGAATATTTACACAGAGTTCTATTTCGAGAAAACTAGCATAGGGCCTTATGAAAAAGATGAAGCCGCTCTTCAAGATCTTGGAGCGGATTCACCTCTATCTAACGACGGGTTTACAGACTGCTGCAATAGGCTGCACAAACAGCAGACAGACGATGTTCGTAAACAAACAATGCACCTTTAAAGGACCTTCAATTGTGCACTTTTGATCAGTCAGCTCCAGGATGTGTACAGTAAGATTCCGCACGGCAACTCTGGATGCATCTCTTAAAAATGTATTCCAGTGACTGAGTTTCATGACACGATTATAAAACTTGGGATTCCGTAACGGCAGAAGTTCTGTCAGCTGCGTGCCTACCAAATATCCGACAAACTGCATGTAATGTAGCGTCTGCCAGTTGCTCAGTCAGCTCAGATGTGTTTGGGAGATATGTACAGCTATGTCTGAATAAAGTTGACGTCTCGCCGACAACAGAATGCAGTGTCTGCCGCCGCAGGTGAGGGGTCCTCTATTGTTTGTGTAGTTTTGTATGCTGTGTTTTTTGTTTGAGTGTGGAGTGTTATTTTGTGTGATGTGTGTTGTGTCTTATTGTAGTACCACAGCCACCGGGTAAAACCCCATTTGCAGTTTAATCTTGTGGACCTACGTTTCGGAGAACCGTGTCGCCTCCATCTTCAGGAGAGAAAATCCATGAACGAAGAACCAGCGTTAGCATGTGGCCGCAGACTGAACCACCACTCGAAAACATGGCGCCACATCCCAGAAACGGCATTCATCAGAGTGTTCACAACTTAGTCTGTTCTCTAAAACAAAACAACTGACCAAAAGTGAAAGACACACTGGCCTTTCAAGAACAGCGCACCAAGAAAGAAGACGCATATTAAAACAAACCAACCACTTTCAAACAAGAAAAAACAGTCCTGCTTGAGCACATACCAGCCAAGCATAATGCCTAATAGACAAATAAGTAAATATTTGTGGAAAAAAAAATCCGGGCAGAGCTCTCAGTTCCTTTCTGGTTCGATAATTCTATGGGCATTCTACATAGCTGTTGGGTCTCCTGCCTGTCAGGCCTGCATTATTGCCTTGCAATAAAAATTAGAAATAAATTCTACGAAAGTATTGTAAAGTATGAACCATTCCCATGATGAAAGTGGATATCCGGCAGTCGGAAGAATAGCTCTACCCCTTACTACTGGTTAAAACAACTGATCGCACTTTTCTGGAGACAATAAGTTTTCTTATTTCGACCAAAGAGACCCACGCTTAGACAGAAGGACAGTACTGTCGCGGATCTTAAGGAAAGATGACGCTAGAAAGTGGACTGATTCGTTTAGTTTAGGAAACGGTCAAGCGGAAGTGTCTTGTGAAAGCCGATAATTAAAATTGGGCTTCCATTAGACTGGGAATTTACTGATAAACTGAGCGACTACAAGCTTCTCAAGAAGGATTCTACGCCATGAAATTATTACAGGCATACCTCGCTTTATTGCGCTTAGCAGACATTGCGTTTTCCTTTTACGAATTGAAGGTTTGTGGCAACCCTGCGTCCAGCAAGTCTATCGACGCCATTTTTCCAACAGCATGTGCTCACTTCGTGTCTCTGTGACACATTTTGGTACTTCTCGCAATACTTCAAATTTTCAATATTATTATACCTGTTATGGTGATCTGTGAGCAGTGATTTGGGGCGCAAGAACTGCGCCCATATAACACGGCGAGTTCTGACTGCTCCACCGACCGGCCCCGAGACAGAACTACATATACTGAAACTGGGCCAGTTACTAACCCCACAGTGGCCTCTAAGTGTCCAAGCGAATGAAGGGGCCTCACGTCTCTGAGTTTTCATCTAAAGCCAGGAATACCAAAGCTTAGTGAGGAAGGCATGTTGATCAGAGGTATGGTTTTGGAGGATTGACTGAAGTTCTTTTGTGAGTAGAACGCTACCCAACAGCATCACATGGTACAGAGAAACATCTCGTGAAAGGAAGAGCCATGTAACCGCACTTCCCTAGCTGTGACTCTGACAGGTCCACTCGTTGTTCTCAC